ACTTCCCTGCCAACTCCTGGCTCGGCAGGACCCCCCTTTCTTCTCTGAGACCACCACGCAGCAGCAGGGCTTTTCATGTGGCGAGGAATGAGGCTTGAGCTTTGAGCCATGTCTCTGATAACTGAGGGTTTTTTTCAATTTTTTTTTTTTTTTTTTTTTTTTAGCTATCCTCCAGTTTGGCTCTGGAAATCAGGGTCAGGTTAGGCTGGGAGAGCATCAGTCCCACTCCTGAAAGTAGTAGGGGTGCTTGGAGTAAGGTTTTCCCTGATGCCAATGTGCAGAGGGGGAATGTTCGTCTGCAAGTCAAGTATCCTCAAATTGGTGGAGAGAAATCTGGGCTGCCTTCAGACAATCTTATGCACACGGTTTGCCATCAGGTCCCACACGTTACAGACATGCTTCTCCGCTTCCTTTTCCCTTAACCTCAAGCCTGCTATTGCTGCAGGGTTTCTTTTCCAGGCAGTTCTTTAGGAATGTTATATATGAGAGGTGCCATGTCCTGGTACGTGGGACTATGGACAGTTTGTGATGAGTGAGCATTGCCAGACTGCCAATGGCTCGCTGCCCACCCAAGCCCTATCAACAGCCGCCTCCAAATACTGCCCAGCACCCAGACTCTGTGCAGAGAAAGATGAAATAATATTTGATCAGTTATGGAGGGAAAAAGAAAGTCCTGGGGCTCTCAGTTCACTTCTTTCCAAGATAACCAGCATTGTTTTTCCTGGGAGATGTGCTCTGTAAAAACATGGGCTCGATGTTTGGAGAGATCCTTTCAGGCTGTTCTCCAGGGCAGAAATATCCAGCGATGGGAAAAGTCTTATTTGCCCTAATTTAACTGGTCTGTCCTCGTGACTCCAAGAAGCTCACCATGAAAAGGAACTGCTTTGCCAGGGAATATGTGTGGGCTTCAGCAAGGATGACTGTTTTTCTTGGGCTCTGCTATCCAGAGATGAAGAAAACATTTGGTTCCTCTGGGGAAATGGCTGTTTTAATCACTCTGAGGTCTCTGGCTTCTCCTTGGGGAAGAGCCTGTTGCAGGCTGGGCTGATGCAACAGGGTGGGTGTCACCCATGGGGACACCTTTGAAGTGATGGGGTAAGGATTATTGCTGGGCATGGTGGGACTCCCCCACTCCCCTCTTCGCTTGCCCCAGGTGTGAGAAGAGACCTGAGAACTACCATGTATAAGGACACGGGTGCTGTAGGGGCACCCATGCTGAGGTCAAGCGCCATTCCTTCCCTCAAAAAAAGCAAACCAAACCCGCTTCTTCCTTTTCTGAGCCCACCCAAAACCTGCCGCCGTGTTGATGTTTGTGTTTCGGGAAACGGGTGAGTCAGGTGAAGGAAGCGTGGCGGGGCAGGGCTGGGCTCCTGCAGGCTCAGCCCTGCCCAGGTGAGGCTCTCCCCGCCCCGGGGGCAGACCCATGCTTTGGCCCAGGTGTGTTTTTGGGGCTCGCTGCGCCTCGCCCGGTGCTGCGGTGGCGGCAGGGACGGGTGACAGAGCGGGGACCAGCCGTGGCAGGCGTCGGCCGGAGTCAGGGACAGGGAAAGATGCTGCCAGGCTGAACTGCTGGAGCCGGCGTGGAGCTGCGGGAGGATGGACGTGGTAACTGCCGGGGTGCTGCTCCTTTCCACCCTCACCGCCACAGTGGGCTGCTCTGGCCCCTCTGCCCCTGGCCTGGGTGAAATACTTGCTGCTTGATTTTCTGCTGCTGGTTCGTAGCTTGGGGCTGTGCTCTCCATGAAGTGCTGGGAGCAGTTTAACCTCGCGGTTAGGTGCACGCTCTCATTGCTGCTTCTGCTCTGCATGGGGACCACAAAAGGACACTTTTTCTGCCCCGAAACAGGGGCCGAAGGGCTCCCAGTGCCTGTTTTTCCCCTGCCTTGCTCTGAGATGAGCTGCAGTTGCTGCCTCTTAATTTAAGAAAAAGTAGAGGTGGATTTTTTTTTCATTTCTTTAATTTTGTTCTGGGAGAAGCTGGCGGGTTAATGAGTAGATGGTATCGCGGCGTGCTCTCGTCAGCGTGCCCGGGGGGCCTGGGCTCAGCTCCAGCCACCCCGCTGCTGGGCAGAGGGCAGTGCTGATTAAACATTTACCCGAGGGACCTCCCTTGGAAATCAAGATAAAGAATGGATCAAGCCAAAAAAATTTCAGGAGGGGAACATGCAGTGCTTCCTCTCGGCTGTCCCGCATGTCACGTCTTGAGCAGGGTTTTTCTTCCTGTGTTGATTCATTTTAGAAAAGCAACCATAGAAAACTAATGAGAATTCAGATTCTTTTTGGCTAGTGCTTGGTATCAGCACAAACCTCCAGCTGCTGCTCTTTCTAAAAGGTGTCCTTATCATAGGCTTAAGCTGAGCTTTATTCTGCTTCCTAGAATGATATTAATGTTAGAAGAACATTTTATTTATAGGGAGAAAATATGGAAAGTTTAGCTGTCCCCTGACTCCATAATGCTCGTAGCTTTCCGGCCAGTGGAAGTTTGTTTCCTTTTTATTCTCTCCCTCTCATCTTGCATGGGCTTTTGCCAAATGTATTATTATTTGCAGTGAATTATTTGGCCAGATGTAGCTGTAATACACATTGTGAGCTTTTGGCAGTCCTTTAAATTTATTAGTGTGTTCTCCCCACTTGTCAACTGGTCTAATTTACAGAGGAGCACCTCTCCCTGCTGCGCTGAAACCTTCTTGGGCTGGTGGGGCAACTGAGGCTGGGACTTCACGGGTGCCCTGCCTGCCTGTGACCTGCTCTGCACTGTGTTTAGGCTGAGCATCTCCCTGAGCTAGCTTAAGGTGTGTGGGTTGAGCCAGAGAGTCACTTGTATGGGTCTGTGGTTTGAAACAGTCCCGGCTCTGATGGAAAATCATCCCTGCAGAGACCAGGAGAACTCATTGCACCTCGGAGGGTTGTGCTAAGCTCAGCCCTGTGCAAGGAAGCAGCAGTTGCAGGAGCTCTGTGGGGAGGGAGAGAGCATCTGGCAGGGTGTGGGCGTGTAGGGGGTGGCTGTGGGGTGCAATTTAACTCATTCCTCCCAGGAAGTTCGCTGTGCTTGGCCGAGGGCTGTATGTGTCCCTCCCGTGATGGGTCTGCTCGTGGCATCAGCGTGAATATCCCAGTGGGCTGCAAACCAGGAGAAACCATATTCCAGTGCAGGGCACTGAGAGTGTGTTAAGCGCAGATAATCTTGCAGTTAATTAGGCGGATCATCTGAAGCTGCCGTTTCAAGGCAAGAGGAGTAACAACTTGAGGGGGAAAAGGGAGGCTTGTATCCATCCCTCTTTAATTGAAGGTAGTGCCATGCTAGTGACTGTCACAGCTATTTCTGTCACAGCCAGTGCCAGGGACAGGCCTGACTGAAACGCCTGTTTTGCAGAAGTCGGCTTCGCCTGTGGCACATTAAGACATGCAGGTACTTTTTATTTTCTATTATTTTCTTTGTCTCCAAGGGCACTGATGAGGAACTATGTGCTGCAGTAAAGGAAAAACAGTAAGGAGAGGTAAACAGCATGAACTCTTCAACTATTGCTGCAGCACGTGCGAAAACTTGGTGCAATCGCATTAGGGCACCTTGCTGCTTTATTTCCTGTCTGGCATCGCTGCAGGGATCTGGTACATGTGGGATTATTTTTTTCCAAAATCTGATTCATCCTCCGTATGCTTCTGAAAACTCCCATTCCCATCAGCTCACCGCTAGATCAGGCTGTCTGGGCAGCTTACACGGCATCACGCCGCTGACCACTAATATGAAATATAATTGGAGCAATTCAAACCTCTCCCCCAAGGGTTGGTTCTTTACATCATGCACTACCCTGTGAAAGTAATAAAGTCAGTGAAAGGGGTTATTCAAGAGAAATTGTCAGTGTTTAATAAATCGTGCAATTAAATGCAATAAAACCTCAGTATGCTATTCATCTGTTCTGCCTTAACACTTAAGGCTGGGGCTTTTTTCAGAATAACGAAGTTCTGTCCTAGATAATTTTTTCCAATTTCCTCATTAGACAGGTTCTCATGAAGCCTTACAGTTCTTCGCACTGAACTAAGCTGCCAGAGTAGTGCACCTAATGTAATCATGGCATATAAAAAGTTATAGAGCAGTTCAAGGACTTAAGTAGCTCATAAATTTTTCTTCATATTTTCTCCCTAGTTCAGTTCAAGGCTGAATTTCAGCCATGACATTGTAGGCAGAAATTGTGGTCCCCTTTCTCCAGCATGGGACAGTGAGACACCTGGGGACAAAGGCCTGAAACAAAATGTTCTTTAAGTGCCCTTTTAAACTGCACTGTCACTGATTATCTCTCATAATATGTAACACCTGGGTCTGGTAACTGTGTGGGAGAGAAATTGAATAACTTAGCCAATATTCATCACCTGGCCTGGGAGATGCTCTTGCTGTCATTGCATGCTGTGCATTTGGTTTATAAACCCTCTGATTCCTGGGGTGGGAATAATGGCAAGGGGAGAAGCATCCATAGGGACCCTAAGATGAACCAACATGGTGGAGGAAGAAGGTTTTGTCCCAGGGATCATTCAGAGCCCTCCAAGGAGGATGTTTGGTGCTTCTCTTCCCACGGTGGAGTTTTCTAAGGGAGTCAGGGGATGGTCTGGGGATCTCCAGAGCAGCACTGGCCTCTGCCCTGGCTGGTGCTTGTGTACTGAAAATAATGTAAGCTTTCCTGCCTGGAAGGTGCATAAGTGTTATCACAGCATCTCTGCCAGGAAGCTCTAACATTCATTTTGGTGTTTGCTAGGTCCTCCCAAGGGAGATTCTCCAACACCGGGTGATGTTGGGGAGCAGGAGCCATTTCTGCTGGTCCCACTGGCTCTGCTTGTTTTTTTTTTTTTTTTTCCATGCTCCTGGGTTTTCCCTCTGTGTTAGCTCTGTTGCCTTTATCAGCAGTGGTTTGTGGGCCTTCAGAGAATCCTCTGAATTAGGTAATTCTCTGCACCTGCTTTAAAATTTTCACCAGGTTCTGCATATCCTTGATGATGAGGGCGGAGTCAGTGGCCTCTTTTTCACTGAAACAATCGTGATCATATAAATGTGTGTTGCCAGGTCTGAAAGCGGCTTTGTGCTCTCTTTCCTCTCCCAGGAAGGTGTGACTGATTTCAGAGCCCTGCGAGCAAAATTTCAAAATGATTCCAACTTGGACAACAATCTGATGCAGCCATGCAAGAAGCCTCCGGCTGAAATCCCTCCCAAGTTGGGCTCTGGAAGGAATGTTGTGTCTAGCCCTCTGCCCCCAAGTAAGAGAGAAGTGGCAATACCGAAACCCAAGGGTGAACCTGCCTATCCTGCCTCCCAAACATCTGCCCTCACACAACACAAGCCCCTGGTATGGCCTCGAGCCAAGCTGGGTTACATGGAGACGATGGGGCACAATGCAGAACACAAAGGCAACGTCTCAGAGAAAGGGTTGAGTTCTCCCAAGAATTGTCCAGAGAAACCTCTGCCATCCTATTTCACTGACAGACAAGGATCAGCCCGAACATCTCCAGAGGGGCCTCTGCTCCCAAATTCTTTCCACCATGCTCTACAGATCTGGGAGAACACTTTATCCCGTGGTGAGAAAGCAAGTTCAATGCTCCCAACCCAGCGGGCAGCAAACTTATATGTGCAGCCTTGCCTGGAGCAGAGAGCAACGTGTGCTCATGCTGTGTCGGGCAGCAGCAGGATGCGACCATCTGGAAGCCAGCCCTCCCTGGACTTGCCTGCCCAGAAGAAGGATGCTCTGTGCAGCAGAGCGCCGGCTCTTCCCCGGGCTCCCAGAGGACACGGGAGCTCTGATGAAGTCGCTGCTGAGAGCACAGCGACAACTGTGCTCTGCCAGCCGGGTTATCATGCTCCAGGAGAGCAACCTCAGCACCAGAAAGGTATAGCAAACTGTACGCTTAACCATGAGCATATATATATCTGCATATGAGCATATAGGTGCTCTGAAAGTGCGTGTTACAGCATCTGGAGAGAAAAGCTGTTATGGGTTGAGATCCTTAAAGAAGAGGCAAAACTGACCCACTGGAGTGCTCCCTGCCTTCCCTGGAGGTCCTGGAGATAAAAAATGGACCTCAAACTGCTGATGAGCTTGGGTAAAGGGAGGGGTCCCCATTTTCACCCAATTGTTTAAAGCTCACTTTATGAAATTGTCCAAGTTTAGAGAGTAGGATGGAGGGTGAGGACAGGGAAATATCTTTGGCCTTTCTCAGTTACAAGGTAAATGTGCCTACACACAGCTATTTTGTTTTTACACAGACATATAAAGTCTTGGCTTTTCTGCAAAGGTGGTTTAGTTCAAATTAAAATGGCTTAAACCTGAAAATCCCCCTCTGCACCCTCCCAGCTTTGCGAAAGATCCTATTTGAGCTTGGAGAGCATATTCTCCTTGCAGTATTTCTTATAGAAAATGGTGCTAGGAAATTTGAATGCTGCGAAGTTCCCCTTGCTAACGTCACGCCGAGTGATGGGGCACTGAAAAGATTAAGACTTTGTTTACCCTGGAAAGCTACCTCGCTCAGACTGTGTATAGAAAACAGCTATGCCACTAAATCCTGGCAGATTAAAATGTTATCGGTACAGAAAATTAGGCTAGTATTTTATAATTGAGAGGAAAGGAGCTGTCGAGAGCTGAGGCCCCAACATGGTTTGTAAAAATCTGTAAAAATGGACATTTCCATTTATTTTTCCACTCTGGTAACATGGTAAGAGCCCCGTTATGTAACAGAGATGCTGAAATTGGGAGGAAGCAGAGCTAGTTAGAAATCTCTGTATAACAACTAATGATCTTGCGTGGATTTTTGTTTAAATGAGGGCTGATGCCTCTCTTTGTGCTTCTCTGGAGCAGTATTGGAACCTCCCTTCTGCCAGCTCAGAGCAGGAAAATGCTCTCACAGCCTGGGGAACAAGTGGCCAAGAATTAAACCTCTCCCTTCAGCTGAATCCCTGGGTCCTGCCCCTGGGAAGCCTGCAAGACCCCTGAAGTTTGATCTCAGTGCTTTCCGAAGCGCCGTGCCCTCAGTCCACAGAGGAAATGAAACAAGTAAGAGGTTTCTAGTCTTTCTCCCCAAGCCTGTTATACTGAAAATGAATAATAATTTGCAGTTTATTGACATGTATAAAGCCACGATTACAAGCACATGGAAATAAGAAGCTGTTACTTATTTCTAGTATCTTCCTCAAGTATTAAAAAGAGCCTGACAGTTTCAGTGAGACTGATTTTTGCTCTTAATCTGGAAAAGGGATCTGGTTTTCCAGGTTGGACGTCATCCCCCATGCAGAAACCCGCTTTGCTCCCAACTGCAGCGTGTTGTGAGCGGTTTACAGCTGGCTGTAAAGCAGCAGCAGCTGTGTATGAGGCGAGCTGATCTTTATCACTCTGCTTCAATGGGAAATGCCTTGACTCTGCAGCACACGACTGTGGGAAGGCACAATAAAATCGGTAGAAACTGGTCTGCTAATCCCCCCCCTTCTGTTTTAAATACAACAGAAGGCAACGTCGTTAAATGTTCCAACATCAAGAAATGGAAAAGTTCAGTTTCCCATAATAAAACCCTATTGATGTTGCATAATAGAATATTCTGGACCGCTTATTAAGCTGTTAAATGGTGTTTCTTTATAGATACAGGCTTAATTATAGCCAGATCTTCAGGCACAACTTTTGCTGAATTCAAAGGGAGGTCCTTTTCTAAGAAAGGAGCTGCTAAACTCTCTTTGGCCATGTCATTGCTTATTGGTCTGCCCTGGCCTTGACAAGAATAAGAGGGAAGGAGAGAGGTTTTCACTGAAACCCTTTTCTAACTTACCTGCCTTTTTAAAATATATTATTTTGATGGAGAAAACTAGTTACATTTATATGTCGTTGTTTCCATGCCCTCTCAATATTGCTCAGTTATTGATCTCTAGAAAGCCTGAGGTTGTTGCCTGGAAACATGAAATAATGACATTTTAACATAGCCATGTCCCCAGTTTCTGCTGGCAATCTTATTTCACGCCTGCCTTTGTGTGCGGCGTGCTGCCTCGAGGACGGCCGTCCCCGTCACCGCAGCTGGCGTTCTGTAGGAGAGCAGTCTTGACTTCAAACGCTTATCTTCTGTGTTTGCGTGCAGCTGCTGAGGAAGAGGATTACTTGACCCCCCAAAGGTGAGTGTGTGGCGAGGCAACGTGGGGCTGGGAGGCAACGGGAGCACCCCCCATCCCGTGCTGCTGAAGCATCCCCGTGCAGTCTGGAGGGGATGTCCCGCTCCCAGAGGCAGCAGCTCGCTCCTGTGCAAACCTACATGGGAAGCTCAAAGCTGACTGGGATGACTTTCTAAAGCAGAAAGCTTCATCCTTATTTTCTCCTCTGGGCTTTTCAAGCAGCATGGAGAGCACTACCCATGTGTTGTTAGGTCCGGTTTAGCTGGTCAGAGGGAAAACTGCTGGTGCTTGGTTGCACCCACCCGCTGCGTGTTTTTCCCTTCCTGTTTTCCGTGTACTCAAGCTTGGTGTTTCTAGAAAAGTGAAGCTTTTGAGAGCTGTTGCTGCAACAAAGCCCTGGCATAACCGGCAGGTGCTGGGGTGGATTATCCAACAGTGGAGGAACTGGCCCTCCTGTGTGTTTGTGCAGCCAGCACAGCTGGGGTACAGGAGCCACTGCCCCCCCGCCCCATCCCCAGGACTTCAGCTGTCTACAGATGCTGAAGTGAGATTTTTATTGAGTGGTGGCCCAAACTTGCTCTCCAAAGGACGTGAACTGATGAGCTTGCAAGTGTTTGAAACGGCTCAAAAATCTTGCAGACAGAGTTGGTTCTGTATACAAGGGGATTCTGACTTTTTCTGGTATGTCTCTGACTTGTAATGAATAGTTGCGTAGTCATCCTGGTTCTGTGCCACAAGAACAGCAAAAGTGAAGGAAAATATTCATATACATGTTTTGTCTTAGCTGCATGAATACACAGCTGTGAAAATGGGAAACAGAATGTCTGAACCAAAGCAAAAAGAGGTGAATTCTTAAAATATTTTCTGTGCCCAAACAATGAACTCCTGCAGCTATCAGCACAGCAAGTTGGGCTTTTCACATCATGAGGTGTTCCTGCCAGTGTTGGCTGCTGTTTTGTTTAACTTTTAACCTGTACTTGTCAGAAGAGACCTGGTCAAAAAATAACCAGCTCCAAATCTGTCATGCACCACAAGGAAGCTGTCCTAGTAATACATTGCAGCAAGATTAGCTGTCTTGCTCTAATACTTGTGATACGGTCTTTATAATAGGTCACTTGTTAAATATTTACCATATGATGACTGGGGAAATTAGTTACATGAACTACAGCATAAAAATAAAATCATGGGGGGTTGTGGTCAAAAATTCCCCTCCTCAAAGCCTCACTTGTAATGAAGTCTGATCTCTTAGAAACCCTGATGTAGTTGCTTGGGCCAACTAATCCTGAGCTCTGATTCCTTGTTTGGGGATAAACACTTTGCCTTCACTGATGCTAGACAGGGATCGATCATCCCAGCTGTATTTCAGGTCCAGTATAGCACTGTGGTGTATATAAAGGGCTGTTTGGTGTCCAGCCAAGTTCCCGGGATGCTATTTTATCCCAGGACTGGGCTGGGGAAGAGAAGGGTGGGGTCTTTTCCTGGTTTTCTCTTCCTCAGGTGATGACAACGGGGACAAAATACCTACTTGTAGTATTAATGCAACATGTATATGTGTGTCCCCTTCAGTGGGACCTACATGTCCAAAACATGCTGTGGGACCAGCAAACTGGCAGGCAGTGCCCCCAGTGCTTGGGGGGCTGCAGGGGAGAGCACAAGGCTAGAGCAGCCTTTGGCATTAGCACAAGCTTCTGCTTGACTTCAGGTGTCATTTCTTACTCCAATTTCACTATTGTTGAAATGCACCTTGAGTTTCTTGTTCCTCTTGTTCTGCTTTCCAACAACTACTTAGTCCTCACTCTGTTGACACTGAGTTGTGACAGTAGGGTGATTCAAGTAAAACCAAACCCTCCCCGAGATTTATTATAGACTTACTGTTAAAAGAAGGAAGTTCTCACTGAAACTCTTCCTGGTATTCTTTCACCACCCTACCCTGTCCCCCGCATGCCTTGCAAGCTACATCTTGTGCATTTGCCCCTTCCCAGTACACTCCTGAGCTGCCATAACCTCTGCTGTCATGGGTGGAGGGGAAGCCTTGGGACTTTGCCTGGGTAATCCGGGAAGGTTTGGATGTTTCTCTGGATCTATTCCCAAATGATGCTTCTTTGAATTTCCAGAGAAGGAAAGGAAAAAGGAGAATGAGGAGGTGGGGACTAGGCTGGGAAGCCCAATGCTTCAGGCTGTGTGGTGCTGGGGCTGAAATGCTTTCCCTCCTGCAGCTGGCACATGCCACTTGTTGTGTTGGTATGGAGCGTGTGGCTTGACAAGGAACAGGGCCTTTAATCATACCCCCTGATATCTCTGTTTTCCCCTTCCTGTTTCCTTAAGTGAGAAACAGCATGCCAAATGGTGCAACCAGGTTGTTATTATTTGTAAAGTAGCTATTATAAGTTTGAAAAGTTCTGCGCTCTGATTTCCTTGACTTTTTTGTTCTGTTTCTACTTGAGGGATCGCTGTAGGCAGAAGACCATAATCCCAGTATGAAGTCCCCTGATGTGATTTGAGTAGCCTGTCCTCCCAGAGGAAAAGTGGTGGGAGTGTGGAGTCGGGGGGGGAAAGCTCAGCTGAGCCCTTCATCTAGCACAGGTCTCCTCTCCCTCCAAGGAATTCCTGATTTCACTTTACTTTCTTATAGGCTCAGTATCAAAGCACTTGAATTCCTTGTCCTTAAGATGAATAATTCTTTTTCAGACTTCTAAAAAGGCCAGAAAAAAAGATCTCTTCTCACTTTTCTTTCATCTTCTCAGTGCTCAGCTTGAAGAGCAGTATAATTATGAAGAAACCCCAACGTACCTGAATCAGTCTGGGGACACCACAACCTTGTGTGTCATTGAAGGTACTTTGCAAGGCAAGACTGCTAGGTGAATTACATGCTATGTGGGATAGAGCTTTTTAAAAAGGAAATAATACAGTTTCTTCAAGCTGAGAAATGCAGCTGTGCATTGGTCTCGGTGACCAAAGATGACTTACTGTCTCTCTGTGCACTGTCAGTGTGTGACTGTGACTTTGGGGCACAGACGAAAAAGGAGTTTGCATTTTGGTGGTGAAATGGTGCTTACAGTAGAACTGCAGTGGGGAAAAGTTAGGAGATGCTACCCATGTAGAAGAGAAATAAAAGAAGATAGTGAGGCAAACTTTAGCATCTTCTTGGGAATGAACAGGTACAGGGTACAGAGATTTTCCATCTCCATCACTACATCTTCCCAGTATAATTTTCTCTATCAGAGTTGCCACTGCTCTGCTTTTACACTTTTCAAAGTTATCTCCTTTTGGGGAGGCTAGTTTCTGCCTTATGCATTGTTTTTTTCTCCCATTGGAACAGGAGCCAAGCAACTTCCTTGAGGGGACCTGCCACAGCTCTCTTGGGTTTGTCCCTAGGGCTATGAAAACAGTGGCCAGTCAAGCTTAATGCTGAAGTCCTCTGAATGTAAGCCAATGTTAAATAGCAAATTGAAGGACCCTGGCCAGTAGCACATGTTGAATGTACCGTGGTGAATGTGTGTCTGGATGATGAGCATGTGGGCTGAAGTTGGGTTTACAACTTAGTGCAATGACTTTAACGTGGACTAAAAAGTAATATGTATTCACAAATATCTTTTCTAGTACCTAAAGCAGAGCACCAAGAACACAAGGTAAGTGTCATCACAGCCAGGTTTGATCTTTCATTCAGGCTTGACGTTACTATACATGCCATGCTTTCATAGCTTAAAAATTTTTAATACCTGTAATACATGTAACAAAGTGGTAACACCATCTGGACATTGGTGGTAGACCAAGTAAGTGTCAAGCACAAATACCAAGATCATGAATTCTTGAAGGAAAAATCCACTGAATCGTTATGGAAGTTCCTGCCAAAGGCGAGCTGGTGTCAGTAATCCCTCTGTGAAGGCATAGAAGCAAAATTGAGCCAGGTCCCTTGCTGTGGCAGCATGCTTCAAGTTTTAGCTCATAAACCAGGGCAACTGTTGTGGGTGTGACTGTTTGGGTTTTCATTCCCTGCTGCAGGGAAATCTCAGCTGCAAAGTACAACCTGACTCTCTTCATTTTACCCTGGCTGCAAAGGAGGTGGCTGTTCACCTTGGCAGTGGAGATATCATGTGGTCAAGGCAGGATAGTGCATTGCACCGGGCAGGTATTGCTACAGCTGTCCCTAGAGAAGGCCTGCATGGCCGAGCTCACAGGTACTTGGCTGAGAGAACACACTGCCCCGTGCCCAGAGATGATCTTGTACTGGGTATCAGTTCTGGCTCTGCTAAAAGAGGGGAGATGACTCTTTGGAAAATGTCAAACTTCACTTTCAAGTCCTGACTTGCAAAGCAATCAAGTTGTCCAGGAAATAGCACAGGTTTCCAAACTCACTTATCTGTGCATGATTTGCAGAGAGGTTCTCTGGTTTGGCTGTAGTCTTATTTTATGGTAGGTTGGAAAATCTTTATTTAATTAAAAAAACTTCCTCCCCTTCTGTAAGCTCTCCAACCTGAAATTGCTTTTATTCTGACCAGTAGCTCCATTGGCATGATCCCTTGCACCGTTACATTATCCCTATATAGTTTGTCAATATGTGTATCCCCTGTCCTGCAAAGTAGAGGAAGTATCCTTGCCTGATGACTATTCCAAACATAAAATGCTTCTGGGCTTTCTGAAGAAATATTTCTTTAAATACTAGATGACAGTTGAGGCCTTGTATAAAAGCTTGACTGCTGAAAAAAGCACAGTGGCTGAAGGTTTTCCTCTTCTTTATTCTAGAAACAGAAGACTTTTCTCTTTGCCAAATCCAGGTAATTTCCTTTCCTTTCTCTCAAGTTTCTTCTAACCCCACAACTAACCCAGATTAGGGTTAGAATTTTGTAACACTCAGTAAATAGAAAGTAATTTCATATACTCCATGACCAGGACAATGTAGGTGATGATGCTCTTCTGTGTCGGCACTCATGGTTTCTAAGATTGTTTTCATTCTAAAGCATATCTGGAGGGGAGATTTTCTTCTCTCCTCTGACACTGAGAAAAAAATGCACTGTCTTTTCCTACTGAAACCTGAACTCAGTTCGAGGCTCTCAAACTGAGACATCCTGTTCCAGGTCCAAAACTGTGTGGTAAGGCAAGGGCCACACTGAATTTCACTCTATAAATGTCATGTTTCAAACTCCTTGCAATGTTTAATTACTGTCATTGGCTGAAGACTGTTTTTTTGATGGGGATTGAAGAATCATATGATAAAAGGGGGGACACTTCAGTGGGAAATGTTGTGATGCTGGAAAAAGTATAATGTTCTGCCTTCTGCTGCTGTATCTTCTTCCCTTAATTGCAATGTGGTATGGTGAAAGTCTTGTGAGACAGGTACCACCACTGGCAAATGGATCTAGCTTGTCCATTCCTGCTACTAGGAAACAATCATCTTAGTTTGTCTCTTTTCTAAGTGTGATTGCTATTACTCCAAGTAACCAGTGGGCTTTAGATTTGGATTTGCCCTTACTTTTAGTACTGGTGATCTTTTTGGCATCTATCCTTATTCAAAGGGAAAACGAGCTCCTCATTTGGGCACAGTCATAAAGCAATCTGTTAGTGATTTTGATGAAGTGTCTCTGTTCTGAGTTCTCTCTCATTTCTGAAATTTTCCATTCTGGAAGAGCTATAATAGAGGATGAAAATGAAGAAAAAACAAGTCTTGAAAGAGAGGAACAGGCAGCAAAGACAATTTCGAAGGTATGGTATCCTTGAGATTAATTTTCAGAATTACTGTAGGACGTGTCTTCTCCTTCTATTCTCCCTCTCTTTGGGAAACAGTTAAAAACAGTGTCTTTAATCACCTGGGTTTTTTCTGTCTTCTCTTTTGTCTGATCATTGCTCAACTGCTATGGCCTAAAAGGCAGATAGGGCTGCCAAGCAGCACCTATGTCTACCAGACATCATTGATGCCAAAGGGGGTGAAACAATTTTAAGTCATCAGGAAGGTAGCTTACATTCTTATAGATGTATATATGTAGGTTATATTAACTTATATTAGAAAGCTGTTTCTAAAGACTGTATTGACCAAACCAAATGTCTGATCTCAGACAGGTGGAAATGAAAATGTATCTCCCATCAGCCAAACTGAGGAAGATGGTAGAGGTGGGATGAAGGTGCCACAAGTGAAGCAGGATGTGACCAGCACCCAGACTGCAAAGCATCCTACCACACAAGGGCTGGCAAAAGACAGAGCAGAGCTCTGTGAGTATCTCATTGCGCTGTTGAGTGTTTCCTCAATCCTCAGTCCCATCTGTTGCCCAAATGTCTCTTCCATATGGGAAATAATGTTAAATTTGGATGCAACTCTTGAACCAATTTAGTTAAACCAGGGCAAAAGGTTGCATGCGCATTTGTATTCTGGTCTGAATAATTTATTTTGGCTTTGCAAATAGCTTCCTAAGTTGGTTAACCATCTGCATAACTCAAACCGAGTTGTTTGTTTTTCTAGCAGATTGCCCTTATCCGAGAGAGCTGAAATCCATCTCCTCTGCTTCTCATAATTTATTGAGTCTCAGAAAAGGGTTTGGCTAAGGCTTGTGGTAGAAACACACGTGAGCAGAATGAGAGCCTGAAGTCTCCCCCTGTCCCTTATTAAGATGGATGATGGCTCCTTGCTCCATCTTAGTAGTCCCAGTGAGCCTTTTTTGGACTTTAGGCTTCTTCTGTCACAATGCTCTGAGATAGCATCCAAAGCTGGTGATATACACCTCAGCTGCACGATTAAACCCAGTCATGTCTCCTCTGTAAACACTATTTTGCAATTCCAGGTAGATATGTGTATGGGCTCTACTCTGCAAAGGCTTACTCCTGCCTCTGCAAGCCGTTAGTGTGATATGGCAACATTTTGAAGATGAAAGGGAAAAAAGTAGCTCTGTTAGGCTCTGTGGACAGACCAGGAGTGTGAAGGAGAAAGTGTAAATTGACCGTGGCTGTGTTTGTTGTTATTGGTGTGGTCCTCAGGTGGTGTTTTTTTAAAAATTTTCAATCACTTCATTAAGGTTTTGCTTGACCTTTGAACAGCTGGAGGTAATTTCTGTTGGGATTTTTTTTTTTTAAGTACTCATGGTGAGCCTCCTGCTATTGCTTCATCAGAGAGGCCAGTTTGGAGAATTGTTTGATTCCCACCCCACCCCCATCCTTTTCTTCTTCTTCATGGGGGTTTGAATGTTTTGCAGAAATGTTGGTCATTAAGTAAGCTATATTGTGGTGGTGCATGTTTCTGGTGAGATCTACTGCATGCACCCATATTTATTTAGAAACACTATTTGCTTTTATTTGTGTGGCTGCATTTCTGTGTTATTCCAACTCTCTTAAATCAGTCTTAAGGATTTAATATTGCCACTTAACAGAGTCCTCCACTAATAATCTCCTAACCTCATGAGGTGTGACTCTCATGCTCTATTCCAGCCCTTGCTGGAATACATCTGTGGGATACTATTCCTCCTTGTCTCCTTTTCAACATGTTGATTTACAGGTGTATTCACAATGGACTGGCCTGTTATTTGGATCTTAGCACCTCCACCAACCATGCTAAGCCCTCCCTTCAATCACTTCTGTGAACATCCATAAATAGTCTCTTGGGATGTTTTCTGGTGAGGAGCATTTGGGTCAGAGCTGCCACAACTGAGAATTTTGATGGATGTTTTAATATTTTTAAACCTAAGCTATTTTAAAACTTTTAAAACATTTAACTTTAAAATATTTTAAACTTTCTCAGAGTGGCTCAAAGCAGAGGCTTTCCTGGACTCAAAGGAGTGGGAAGTATGTCTGTAGGCTCTTTGTTGTGGGATCAGCTGTTAACAGTTGTCCTTGCCTTGAGCGAAGTTCCTCAGAAAAGCTTCTAAAGTAAAGGTCCTTTCTCATTTCCAGTGTGCTACATTGATGTTGGTGGTCCAAAGCCAGGAGTAGGAAGAACTACCTTGAACCAAAACGCTTGTCAGTCTCTGCAAGCACCAGCAGATATATATGATGATGTTGAGGAAATGCATGATAGACTGTGAGTATGGACCTGGGCTCTTTGCAATGGCTGTGTCTATGAAATGTCTTTTAAAAACTATGCTGTAGCACATCCCCACGTAATACTTCTGTCTTCTAGCAACCACACATCGGATGCCTCCGGTCCATTTGCTTCAACCAGCAGTAAGTGCAGCACATGGGGAAGCTTGAATGGGAGCTGCTTTTAATTTGGGCTGGTCCCTGGGAGATTATGCGAATAGCCGCATTTAACTTTCAACATCTATAGTGTAGCCTCCTGGCCTGGTTGCTCTAAATTCCCATTAAAACCAGGGGGGAGCAATACATGTGTCTAGCATGGAATTTATGTGAGTGACCTTGAAACCTCTGTAAGAGTAAAATGTAATGGTCTGGGTGCAATTTGTCCAGCAAACCTCACCTCATCACTGCTGAACAAGGTTTGTGATAATGGCATGCCTTGGTTTTAATTTTCAGGAAACAGCTATGAAGAAACATATGAAGATGTTGAGATTGGGGGTGATAATCGAGCAAAAATGGAGTAAGTTGCAATTTCTTAGCTTATATTTTTAAATACTGACCTTGATCTCCCATGCCAGGTACTGACTGGAAGCCCTTTTTTTTTCCTAATGCAACTGCAGAAAAGTTGTTCCATGGGTGGGTTTTTTCCTCCTCTTCCTCTCTCTTTCCCTTTTGGCTAATACTTAGGGAGAAAAAGTAGTTATTAAAATGAAATCCCTAAGCAATGAGGCCTTTCTATTAGAGTTTGTAGCACTCTTCATCCATTGGAAGTACTCCCCTTACAGACCTCTCCTTGCATAAAACACCTTGCTAGCCTTCTCTTGATCAAAAGCTTTGCTCAGCTATGGCTGAGAAATGGCACCTTTTTTTGTGTGCCAAAAGAGGTAATGCTCGAGAGACAAATAGGGACACTGTCTCCATAAAAAGGGGCAAAGTGCTCACATTTCAGATCACAGAATGTTGGAAAGCTGAAAGGAGCCTAGGGTGACATGTTGTAACTAACTTGCAACCTGCTCTTTTTTTATATAGCTTCTCAAGATAATTGCTTCCATAGGGTGTGTTAGAAAAGCAATGAGTTTTGCAGCCTTAGGTTTCTATATTGCTTGAGCTTCCCAAATGGATTAAGAGGTGAAATGTGAAGTTAGTTGTGTTTTTACTTATTAGCTTTGTGTGGTTCCCTACCCTCCTGCAGTGAAAGACTTCCTGCAACTCTTTGTAAGAAATAGACAGCCTTTGGGAACAGCATATGGGCTGGGGATGCTGCACACAACGGCTTTGAGTGCATCTGGTGGCTCTCTTCTAAGGAGCAGTGTGGGAGGAATAATAAGGTGTTGCGGTACGTCTGCTTTTCCCTTACGGATGTGAGACTCATACTGGTTTGCATCTGGATTCAAGTCTAGCTTACGCGTGTGTGTAGGGCCTGCATGTGTCAGAGTGGGGAAAAAGATATGGGAAACCTGAAACCCTGGAGGTGACTGGGCAGTTATTAAAAGGCAGAAGTGTAATTTCTCTGCAAATTGTCCATGAAAGTTGCGTGGTGGACATGCCCGAGCTCCTCCAGCCAGAGGGTAGTGTGCTGGTGTCTGCGTCCAGCTTCTGGACCAGCCATGCCTGTCCCTCACCTGCTGGGAAGCGTACCCGTGCCTCTTCTCCACCTCTCTGCACACGGGTGCTGAACAGTACCAGAAATTAATCTCCACTGCTAATTCACAGACGAGCAGTGCATCTTGCTGGGTTTTCAAGGCAATTTCATGACAAGGCTAGGGTTGGGACAAGATTCACAGGGTTCTGAGGTCAGTGTCTGTATCCCCAAAGCAGTCTTTATGTAATCTTTCTATTGATCCCACATGCAGGATTAGGCGTGCTGATACACATAAAGTATTTTTAATAGTGCTTGCGCATGGGTAATGTTCCCCATGTGAGGATCTTGGTTGTTCGCAGATACTTTATTAGAAAATTGTTATGTGGCTTTGCAACCCCCATAAGCTTCAGAGAGAAGCGTGTGTAGTGGAACGCGCTTCTCAAGAGCATACATGACAGAAATGTGTGATAAAGGGTAGCACAGACAGATGCTGTTGAATTTTTGTCCCTTTTGTCAGGAGTTTTTACTCCAAAGAAACCTGGATCATTCCGTAGTTGTTGGCTCAGAGGAGGATGACTTCAATTAACACTGAAAAGTTTAAAGCTAAACAAAGATTTGAGCTTGGAGTTTATATAATTAAGGATCTTTTGCTGTGTTGGTGCCTATCTCATTGAATCCATCATCCATCCGTATGATGCTGTTAAGGCTTAAAGCTGAACTGAGGTCTAAGGTCGGCTGACCTTTCTTTACCTGCTTCAGGATCTCTGGGGCTATGAGTACTGCACCTCTCGCGTAATTCAGTGCCTACTATCTCTTTAATTTATAATCTTTCTGTTTTGGACAGAACAGAAAAACAAAAGAGATTTGGAAACTTGTTTAAGATAGAAAAGTTGAAGCTGAAGAATACCAGGTTCAAGGAAAACTTAAGGTAAGAAAATGTTGGTTGTCCATTCCCTTCCCCCTCTGAACTGGAGCATTCAAATTTGCAGTAATTTTAGAGTAGGAGGTCTAGGAGTAAAGAATACAACTTCATCAGGAAAGTTATGCTAAAAGGGCTTCTATTAGCTCACTGGAAGCTGCTATGGCAGATGTGGCCAATGGTCCCTCTGTTCAGGTTCTCCAAAGTCTCAAGCTGGTCCTACAGCAGTGTCCAAATTTTCATAGGCTTTCTGCTGCCCTTTGTACCTTTCTGATACCTCAGCATGATGCAGGTACACAAGGGGATGTAGAAATGTGATACATGCTGCCTAGACCTCTGGGCCAGGACTAGGCAAAAGCTTGCTGATGTGGCTCTTAACGGTCGAGATTTTTTATTCCAAGTACCATTTATAGCCAGGCCAGCAACAGCATCTGCTGAATAAGTCTACTGTTGAGTCTGTAGTCTAACAAGTTAAGATAGAGAATATTGTATAACTTCTTATAGTGTCCTTTTGGGTACTCTTACTTTAATATTCAAAACCCTGGTTAAGGTTCCATGGAAACTTCCCTTTTCTCAAGTGCACAGTAGCTGCCAGCAGAACCCGTCCTCCACCTCTGCCAGCATGTGCCTCACAGTGTGCACAGTGCCTAAAGTCCAGGAAAATGCTACTTTTTCTTATTTCTTCAGAAATTCCAAATTATCTCTTTCCTCTTTTATATGAAGAAGGTTTGTTTTACTTAATCTTTTCACACTAGGTGCTTTGCCTTGTTAGATATCATTATAGGGAAGGAGCCATCAGGTTTCATGCCATTCTTCTGTTTCAAAAAACCTTTAAAGCTCCTACAAGTATCTTGGGTATCTACAATCATTTTCACTTTAAATTCTTGCGCAACCCATGATGTTGGCAGACTACAAGGAAGGAATTACTACGGACTTCAGTTACAAACTGTCCATCGACCCTCTTGCTATTGTGAAGGGGTGTATGGGTGGGCAGGAGGAGGGTGCTTTTGCTGCTTTGGACTGTTCTTTGGGTGCAATGTAGACTTTTCATAAACTGCTTGATGAACACATGGCTCTTCTTGCTGTCAGAGGATGGAGGTGCTTATTTAGCAAGGGCGTAATCCTGTCAAATGCTGTTGGTGTCACGGAGCCCATATACCTAGACCTGCCTCCATTGCTTCAGCAGCAAGCACTGCTGGCTTGGTGGTGCTCAGGGATTTTTGAGTGATGCTGATGTTCAAACTTGTTTCTAAAAGCCTCTTTCTATCCACAGATTGTTTTCCACTTCAGCACCAAATTTAGGTAAGCTGATTCTTGGGGATCTGTGTGTGTGTATGAGAGGCAAATGTATTGCATAATGCAAAATCAACTTTACGCATTGCGCCTTTCTGAAAATCATGTAAAGTGACAACCTGAACTTTGAAGACTTGATAGGGATTTGTGCTTCAGCTGAGGTGGCTTTTTTGCTCATTTTTGAGTGTTTTTTCATTGAAGAGGATCATTCTTCCTGCAGATCTGAATGTGTTTAGGAAGGCAACGTGTGAAGCAGTCCATGGTGAGCCGCTACATCCAGGCTGGCTGCTGGTGAACAGCTGAGGGCACTGCAGCAGCTCTCTGTAAATCTACTTAGTGCTGCCTGATGGAGGGACAAGTTCGTGCCTTGCATAAACAGGGGTGGATGCAAAACCTGTCCCCACTAATCAAGCCTTGAGAAGGTGCTGGTGTGAACACACCCATGTCCTTGGGGTGGAAACCCTGCTCAGGCTGGCTGCAGTGCAAATCTGGGGCTTTCCTGCTGCTCCTGCTCCATTGAGCTGGATGGCCAAACCCACCCAGAAAACTGCCCACAAACACAGCTAACAATCCCAAACATTCTGACTTGTGCTGGAGTTTTGCCTGGTTTTTGGAGCCCCAAGGATCTTCCTTTCGCATTGCCTTGGCCCCTTTGGGTTGAATGACTAGCAGCAGCCCAGATTTCCCTCTGAAATATCTCACTTTGAGTACCAGGCTCAGAATGACATCTAATAATTTTCTCTGCTGCATTTTGGCTGACAGTGGCTGTTTCCCAGGAGAACATGGTGTACGATGATGTGGGACAGAGAGAGCCAAGGTGAGGAAGGTGCCCTCTCCTGGGGCTGGCCCCGGGGCCATGGAGATCTTCCTCTTGGCATAAACCTGTGCCCTGGGGACCCTGCTGCACTGCAAGCCACCGAGGGTATGAGCTGGTCGGGACTCAGTCCTCTGGAGACAGTCCAGATGCCCTCTCCATGTGTGTTTAATTTGGCAAGTAACATCCCACAAAATGTTTCTTCAATGTTACCTAGTTAGGGCCAGAGACGTGAAAAGGAGAGAGCTGCTCCCTGAAACACGTGAAAATTCAGAGAGTTTTCCTAAGGAAGGGGAAAACTCCAGCTCCCAGACCTGATAATCAGCCCCATCCTGGCAAGCTCATTGTCAGAAAAATTACTTTTAATAGGAACAGCATGTCTTGATGTCTTGCTGCCAGATGATTGTGGCAGCAGAGCGTGCTGGTATAAATCACAGCAAGTGTTTGCATTTCAGTGGTGGTTGTGGGGGGACACAGAGAGAAAAATCATGACTTTTTAGGTACACGGCCTTGGGGAGGGAACGTGGTCTGCTGGAAAAAACTTGAATTTCCATGTGGCTCTTTCCCCTCCTCTCAGAGAGAAGGACGACAAGTACAAAACCTGGATGCCAAAATTTCTGATGGCGAAAGAGGATAAGGACCAAAGGAAAAATAGCAACGCTGTGGAAAGGTCTTGATTTCCATTCTGTGTTTTCCTGTGTTGTCTAACTTTGTACACGCGTCTCTCAAGTCGTTTGCAGGAGTGGGATGTGCAGATATTTTGTGTTGACTACAGCTCCAGGGTCCTTTCCTTTTGAACCCAACTATCAGGAAACTGCAGAAAATATCTCGAGGGCAAAACAAAATCTTGGATCTGAGCTGTATGCAAGTGGTGGATACCCTGAGGGTCTCATCCTGAAGTTGTATCATGTCTTCCCACTTAGATGAGACCAAAAGGTGTTACTTGCTATATATTTGGCTGCTTTTCTGCCATGCTCAGTCCCATTCCTTCTGTAATTGTGCCTTTGATTAAATGTTTCATCTCTGTGGATCAGGTATTGCTATTTTGGCAAGAGCACTGTGTTTAGAAGCCCTGTACACAGCATAGTAATTGTTCCCCTTGCCCTTATTTTAACATACTAATTTCTTGGCTCTTCTTTTTCCAGCTGGGTTTATTGCATTGCCTCTCGCTGTACCATTTGTGCATAAAAACAATAATAAACCCCAAATTCACATGGAAATAGGTGTTTCCATTTCCCATTTAGATCAGAAAATTGTGTGTTACAATGACCTGGGACTTCAAAGAAATGCAAATCAGAGGTCTGTTTTGGGGGTTCTCACCACAGATTTCCTGCATGGGGTTGCTCAAACACCTCTTGTTGCTTTGTGTAAAGTCGTGCATATGATTTTACAGAGTGACAGAAGGTCGATACCATTTCATCCGTTCCTTAGAGATAGCAGGTCCTGCAGGCTGAGACAGCCAAGGAGGCATCTCTTCGCAGTTTAAAAGTCCCTAATTTCAGCTCTTGTTTCCCCTCCTCTTAATTTTAAGAACATTAAAGTTAGCCAAGGTTGAATGATTTATTGCAAGTGGGTATCTTTTGTTTGGTTGATTTTTCCTGTCTTAGTTTTAAAATTAATACCATAGCTGGAATTTCAGGTACCAATCAGAAAGAATGGCATCTCCATACCCAGAGAATGCCCCAGCATGAATGGACATTGCTCCCCTTAAGTAGGTCATAAGAGCTTGTTTTTCACTTTACAGTGCCGTATATATATGTCTGCTTGGGCGACTTTCTCCTCTATGTGTTAGAATAGTAACAGAAATCTGGAGAGCGGTGTCAAGTCCCACTTCCATAAATGACTCAGGATGAGAGTTATCTGGGGACTCTTTATGTCTGAATATAAATAAAACCAGAAGGATACAAACTGCTGGGGGAAAAGTGAATTGTTGACTTCTATAAAAACACGACTGATTTGAAACACTAGAGAGTTTGTTTGTTCCCACGCTGCTTACAGAGAAAACAGTTATTCCAAACTGAGATACAAAATAGCTCAAGTTGTGTTCACCAACGGATTTTAGTTGTGTATTTATCCTTTTATGAGAAGTAGTGATGTGAGTGGTGTGCTTTGCTATTCCAAGAGTTCATTGCAGACAAGGCTGGAGTTAGGCTCTGGGTTGCATTTCCCAATGTGCCAGGGGTTATTATCTCAGAAGCGTGTGTATCTCTCTCTCAGCAGAAATATCTTCAAGGTCAAGAATAGCAATGCAGAAAAAAGCAAGAAGAAGGAAATAGAAGAGACGTTTTTTAGAGAAACATTTATGGTACGTGTCTTTTTGGAGAACTAGTTGTGTCAGAGGAGGAAAGCAGTCGTGTGTCGTGCTTAAAAGATACATGCTGGAAAGTTGTCAGACCTTAGCTATTCTGGGAGAGATGTCCCACTGACCTGCTGCCTCCTCCCCTAATCAGGGATCTTCATCAGAGATGTTTCTGGGGTTTTTCCCCCCTCTTCAGCCCCCAACAAAGCCTCACAACCCATCCTGAAAGCTCTTCTCTCAATCCCTCCCCACTGCCCTTAAAGACATTGCACACGAGTGTAGAATAACTTGGGGTTTTCTTTCTTCTCTGCAGTACAATAAGGAGATCAGTGTCATCAACACTGCCACTGCCGAGTGCTCAGTCCCCAGTATGAGGAGGGTTGATCTCCCAGTCACAGCTGGAGAACAGCTGGACGTTATTGATGTCACAGAGGGCAACGCAGTGATTTGCCGCAATTCGGAGGGCAGATGTAAGTTTGCAGAAAGCCTCTGGCATGGGTGGTCACTTTTCAATTCTGTTTTGAGGGGCAAGCAACAATATGTTCTTTGTGCTTAGCCACCGAGACTTTATTTGCTCAAGAGTTGACTAATTTACTTCTTTTTCTCCCCTTCTCTCAGATGGGTATGTTCTAGTGGAGCATTTGAACTTCAGGTAAACTCAGATTTTATTTATTATGATGCATATTTTCTTCTCCTTCCCATGTATAGATATTTGAGATCTGGAGGAATGTACTTAAAACTCTGAAGGCGGGGGAAGGTTAATATAAACAGCCAGTATTAAATATTAAATAAGTATTTCCAGTTTTAGTCTGCTATTCTGCTTCTATACAGGTTTCCAGTCCAACTGCAGCTAAAAAAAGCCCCGTCCAGTCATGACTTGTATAAATTGGAGATTCTTGACTGCCTTCAGATATGCCATATTAATTCACATCTGCTGCAAACATGGGCCACTCGATGTGCAGCGCCTTGCCAAAACACACCCTTAAATCCCCTGCTGCCATATCATTTCCTTGCATGCTCATGCATAATTGATACAAACGAACCTCCTATTGCCCAGGTGCCCATTGCTGTGAAACTTTCTTTTTTTGAGACAGACAGCACTAACTGCTGCGAGAGCTGCTCTCCCCCGGAGCATCCCTGAAGGTCTCTTTTGTGCTTCCCGCAGCGGTGAGAGCGCACGTTGGTCAACTGTGGAGTGATGATGCAAATGTAAATAAAGTTGGTTTTTTTTTTTTACGCTTACAGTGTTTAATGTGAAAGTGATGTTTCCTTTTTTGTCTGCTATTTAGAGCATGTCTTCACTGATTATCTCAACATTAGTTATTTTCAGTATTTCTCACTTTTTGGAGTACCTTGTTGGTCGGCTCTGAAATGGCCATAACGTTTCTGCGTTTTCATGGAAAAGAATGTGCAGTTTAGTTGCTCCGTCTCGTTACTGTCTGGTTTAGGTGCTGGAATTGCAAGGCTCCCCAAAAGATTTGTTCTTTAAAAAGAAAACCATCTAAATTTGAACTGGTTTTGGACTTGACAAGAGTATTGAGACAAGAAGTATGTACTGCCACACTTGCTGGGTTAAATATATAAAATAGTGGAAAACTTGACTCATTTCTTTCCAAAAAATATTAAAAAAGAGTAAATAAAGCATTCAGTCAAAATTTACTTTATTTTTGTAAGCTAACTTAGGCATCCCAGATATGTAAAGGCTGACTTCTGGCTCCCACCAACTCGCAGCAGCAGGCAGTTACCCAACAGTTGCCCCTGTGTTCGGGCTATTCTCCGCTGTGGGCCTGGAGGATGATTGCTTATTTTAAGAAAAATGCTCCTAAATGTAGGAAGAGAAATATAAATTGCTAATGGCTTCTCCTCGGTGTATCCAGGGGATACCTTTTCAAAAGCAGAAAAACGTGGATAGGGTTTTTACATGGTTTTGGAAGAAAAAAACCTTAAATATGACTGTAGTGTACAGCTTCTGCCCCTCCCCAGCACATTTTAAGAGCCCCTATCAGTTTGCTCATAAATATCCTAAAAATGTAGATGGTTTAATTAGAAATTATTAAATGTTCCAGGCTTAAGAAAACAGAGCAAAATAAAAGCGCTGTTTGCCACACGGCCATTTCAAAGCTGGCATAGGAGACATCAGAAAAACAGAGCAAATATTTAACATTTACTTTTAAGTCCATACAGGCATTCTTATTTATTTTACCATGTGGTTACTATTAAGTGTGTTGGCCTGCATCCATCCTTGCAATAAAAAATAAATAAAACAAAACCCTGTAAGCATGCGCAGCTTTGCAGGCTTGCCAGCCCAAATATTTAGACTTCTCTAGCTGAGATGGAGACTTTGGGGAGCTGGAGTGTGTGTTCGGCTTCAGAGCTGGCTGGGACGTGCTCTATGTCCTTCACCTACAGCCTTCATGGGGAATTATCCTGCTGGAAGTTGTGGAGACGGTTTACCTGGGGGGCTTTTTTCCATGGCAATGTTTAGGATTGATACTCTGAAGAAAACACTCCTTTCCTTGACTCCTTCCTCATCTTCCTCCCCATCCAGCACTAGCTCACAAGTCCTGAAGTCTATTAATCACACACTATGTAAGCACTACAGGTAAATCTTGTATTAGCCACATGTGCTAGTTGTTTTTTGTCTCCTAAGGAAGTTATTTAACATTTTTTTTTCTTTTTTAAAAATTATGTGTAAAAAAAAAACACCAACAAAAAACCCCCTCCCCTTATGCTCTGTGTTATACGTGATCGGGCCCTGATCCCAGTGCAATTACATTATTAAAAAAGTGAAAGTCTGTGTGGGTTTGCACCCCAACTCGATGCAAACCATGAATTTCTGCACTGGTGTTGGCAGCTGACTTAATGCAAGGATGCCTTGTGATGCACTTAAACTGTTTTGCTTCATGGACAGATTCCAACGTATATCTAGAAGGAAAGCCCTTGATACGGGATGACTCAAGACAATACAAAAATGCTTGACATAAAGCAACTTGATTTCCTCAATTAAACCGCAGGTGGGCTATATTTAAGTCAAGATACTGGTCAGGAAATTAAATTCTTCCTCTTTCCTTTTTGTAGCCTTGCTGGTACCTCCTAAACACATCAAAACTTGAAGTAGTTCTCATGTGAATTTTAAAACCTGTTCCTCCATGCTCCTACTCAAAATGGAGATCATCATGATAACCATTCTAATTTGCTGAATCTGAGGGAGAACTGAAATTTCTTAGAAGCCAATTCTGTAGCACATAGATTGTGTGCATAGGGTCAAAACTGGAGCACTCGCTGCAGCTTTGTGCTTTAACTGGATTTACATGCCTCTGCATCACAGGCGCATGTGAACTAAGTCCCAATTCCTCCCCACCAAGCGCCTTTCCTGCAATGAAAGGTTATTTTTGCACAATGTCTTTAAAATGCTTCTCTCCATGTCTTTGTGTAAGGAGTCGAGATCTGAGTCGGCACCGGTCCGTCAGCTCTGCTGGGTGCACACTGATACAGAAGAAAACCTTCAGGCCTGGGTCCTGGCACGTATTTTGGATGGGGGAAACTGTTTCTGTTATTCACGTATATATTTTAATTCCCCTTCCTGCCCTTTCAAGCCCCAAAAGCCCTGGGGGCTTCCATGGCCCCGCAGCCAGGCTGTCCTGGGAGCATCTCCAGGGGGAAACTCTACCAGCCAACCCCAGCCTGCAAAAAGGGACTGTGCAATAAGTAAGTTTTAACGATTTGTTGCTCTTGCCTCTTTTCATCTCTGAGTTTATTAAAGTGCAAATGTCAACCATGGAGACAGCTATCACATGCAGTGCAGTACACCAAGAAACACTTTCCACACCATAAATGGAAGGTAAAAGGCTTCGTTGTGATTATCTAATGCACAGTTACTTGCACAAAGGACAAAACTGAACCTAGGCTCTGTGCCCTTCCACAACAGCTAGCCCCAGAAATTATTAAAACAATTAATTTGAAAACAAAACATTCTCCAGTCCATCAGTTGACAAAATAGAAAATACCAAGAAGGATGGAGTATTTATAGAGCTCAGAATTTTTTTCTAAGCTTCAAATTAATTATATGTTTTAAGGGATGCTTATACTCAGAGCTTTTTAAAGTTCAGTATTTTAAGAAAAAAAAATATAAATATATAATATAAATACTCCTTATAGTACAAACAAAAAATTACAATGGGCTAGTCCGGTTCATCTCTCTCATAGAGCTGAGGTTTGTCTGCCCAAAGACGTTGGGCCACGGACACTACAGTTATCCTGGGATTCAGTTTTGCTTTGTGCTCTGAAAGAAAAAAAAAACAAATGCATTGAGGTACAAAACACGTGAATATAACATGATACTGAACACATGAACATGCTTTCAGCAACAAGAATAAATATTACAATGCCTACAGTATCTACTTCACAGCCTCGTGAGATGAGGATAAATAAACTATTTCAAAACTTGAAAAAAAATCATAGAGATGAGTCTTAGAAATAAACTTTGATTTTTAAATTAAGGCAGCTTCAGCAGGAATTTCAAGGCTTTTGTTTAAAACAGACTTTTTGTAACATCAGAATTTTACTCGTGCTTTGCAGCTTGAGCTCTGGTTTACCATCCAGTTCTCCTAACTCTGATGATCAAAACGAGCAAAGATATGTGCATTGAATACATGTAATACCAGGTTTGCTCTCAGCAAAAGTCAGTGTTTGGTCAATAGGTAGAATGTAGCAATTCTGAAAACCAGTTCATCTCTCAGGCATGGGAGTGAGGTACCTCTGAATGAATCGTTAGCTCCATGTCCAAGAGGCAGACTGGAAATTCAGAATTACAGGAAGCTGTTGCTTTTTTAAGAAGTGAATGATAAAAAGGAATATATAAGGGAAGGGCTAAGGAAGCCAAAGGAAAGCACTAAATGGAAAGCCCATACTGAAGTAAGACCTTAAGAAAGGTGATGCTAGTAGGTACATCATATACCTGAAACAAAAATGGATCCTAAAACTCTCCAGGAAAATACTGCAGGAGCTGGAGTGGGAATTTGTTTGGCTCATCAGAAGATCAGCAGATGTGCGATTCTTCTTCCCCCTCTCCTCTCAGCTACTAAAAGGGTGAAGCCAAGTAATTGCACAACAAATGGTACTTCAAGTATTTAGAAACACGGCCTGCATGTCTCACCGGTGGGATTCTGCATAAGCTGGGAGATTTGTGCACCTCGTGAAATAAAGCTGTGGCTTCCAGCAGTCCTAATGTGTGTCGAAGGCACGATTTCATGTCCTGCGTACAGGGATCTCTTCCTTAGTCCACCCAAGATGACTGATGGTAAAGAGCAGTAAAATGAAAAGGAGTAGACAGAATGGTTATTTTGTTCGAACTTAATCTATTCCAATATGAATGGCATTACAATCGCACACACACACCAAAAAAAAAGTATATACAGCAAATACTAACCAGTTGCTTCATTTTTTACAACACTGTCCGTATATACCCCTGTGCTTCTACACACCTTATGAAATGCTAACTTGGATGCACACGCTGAAGATGCATTTCTGACCCGTTAAGAGAAAAAAAAAAAAAAAAAATCCTGCTGCCTTTGCCTGTTCAGCTCTGACTCCTGAAAATAAAACTGCCCTAAACCCCGCTGGCACCAGGGCTTTGGCCAGGGGGGGTGGGAGGGCAGGGTGGCTCGTGGCTCCCGACACCACCGCTCCTCCCTTCCCTGGATGAGGCACGCTGGGTCCAACGGGGTCAGCTAAGCTATTCATGGGGTTTACCTAGAAGAGGGTGTAAAAATACCATCCCCTTTCTCCGGGTCCTCTCGCATGCCAGGATTAGCGTGCGCGATGGCAGGAGTCCAGGGCACACACCTACCCCGCTGGGCAAGTAAAACCGAGAGGCCAATGACGGGGATGCTACCTACTTTTTTTTTAATATATATACGTATACATATGTAATATATACATATATATATATTTGCCAACTAGTACAGTACAAGCTATTTCTGAATTAACTCCTCCAGGAGCTGGAGGTTAATGCTGGAGCCTCTCTGAACTCTATATCCTTTGCATTTTGTCTCTCTCCTCCTCAGGCTGCAGCAAAGTTTGGGTGAGTTTGTGGCTTGCAAAGCACAGCTGCCCAGTGGCTTCTGAAGAATTGCACTTGGAGTCATTCAAGTTTCTGTAGTTCAAATACGTCTACCCTGCTTTTCCTGATGCTCAAGCATGTGCCAACATAACTCAAAAAAACTGACCACAGTGTAACAGTTAAACTTTTCCTCTGGAAAATCTAACCGGAGGTCAGCAGCTTCTTTGCAGCTGGGAACCAGAAAACTGCCTATTTGGAGGGAAAATAAAATTAAAAAAAAAAAAAAAAAAAGTGAAACTTCTCGGAACATTTCAAAACGCAGCGTGGATTTGGGTAAGGCTGTAATGGACAGTTCAATCCAGTGTGTTCATTGCAGAGGTACATCAGACCTACTCGCTCCACTGCCGCTGCTGACATCGAGCAGGGAAGTTGCTTCATCTCTTTGTGTCTCTCCATACGGGAAGCCGAGCCACTCTTAGCGCCTTCTAGGCAGGACTGGTTTTACAGAGCCATAGATGAGTTAATGTTTGCATGGGTCTGAGAAGATGTCAAGTGCCACAAGAGCTTATTCTACCACCTAGAAATCCCACTCGCCTCCAGGAAGCAAATATTTCCTCCCAAGGGCATTTGCTGCTGCTTAATACTATTAGTTCTGCTGGGTAGGAAATCCCAGAGGACAAGTGCCGTTTTAAGGCAAGACATCTGTACAGCTACATGCTTCTCAACTGCAGATTATATCTAATGCACCAGCCCCTTATCAACAGGGCTACTGGTGTGTCCAGGACAAGCAACTTGGCAAGGTGCTCAGGTGTGAGTGATGATTTAAACAGCCTTTTACATTTCAAATACATTTCGCCGTGGGGGTATGGACACTTGTAGCTGTTTCCAGGATGGAAATTAATGTCTGTCCCTGCGGCCGCTCAGCCGCCCTCTCCTGCTCCTTTCCAAAGGGGCTTATCTCCAGCACCCAAAACCATTTAGGGCTGTTTGCTCGTGTCTCAGCACTGATCCCAAAGCTGCTAAAGAGCTGGGTGCTGCTCAGCTTTGGCTCTGGGGTGGGATTTTTTGCATGCAGGAGTCTGGATTCTCCATCTCCCCGGGTATGACGTGCTCACACCACAGTACTGGAGACACGCATCATCCGATAGCCACCAGGCACAGTACCAAAGCCATCCTCCACCCCAGAGCATTTATTTAACAACGATAATATAATAAAAAGCTCGTTACAAAACCTAGGAGTACTACAAATATTTCCAGTATTTCTTTTAAAAACAAAATTGTTCTGCTGCCAGGTTTATAATCCAACCACTGCTGTGTTGGATTTAGTGTATGAGAATTTAACAGCAAAACTGATTTTTTTTTTGGAAGCTTTCTACTTTGTGAGGCTTCTGGAAAAATTTGAGCTGTAAAGTCACGTTAGTGAGAATCCAAGCATAATCTGTAACAAAAGTAAGGCAATTTTGTGTTTTTTAAAAAAAGGGACTTTGAGCTGAAAATGTCCATTTAACTGCCAGTAGATGGCAAAAATATCCTGTACTTGTCCTCATTACTTAAAATGATTAGTACAAAAGGCTTAATGTGCTCATCTCTTCCTTGCTTCTCATAGAAACTTGCAGAAAGTATAAGTTAAAGTGCAACTGTACAAAAAAAACTAGAAAAAACCTCGATGGGTCATAAGAAGCTATCAAAAAGATGGATTCCATTTTTTTTAAAAGTTGAATGACCTGGGACCAGCAAAAGTTCTCCTTTGCTTTGTTTCTTAAAACAAAACACACCAAAAAAAAAAAAAAAAAAGGAAAAAAAAAACCCACCCAGGATTTTTTTGGCAACGTTTTCATAAAGCATTTGTTCCTTGACTGATTAGACTATTATGTTCCTTTGCAATCAAATAAATGGAATTAAATACCATAGCAAAGCCAAGCAGATGCCAACGTTGCCCATTAGATTAAGCCTGTGTAATAAAAAATAATAATTCTTTTAAACAAAGAAGTCACACATGCATTAGAGTTTACCCTTGAATAACAAGAATTTAACCTTAAAAAACCCCATAGTTTTGTCTTAAAAAATAAAACCCTATCCTTCAGATAGCCAGTAGTAAAGAAACAGTAAAACTCTGAATTCAGATATCCCTGCCTTATCAGCAGAGGTCACAGTCCGGTGAGCAGCAGCGGGATGGGAGAGCCCTTCGGCGTGAAGAGCGAGTCTCTGACAGCGTGAAGCTGCGAGGGGGGACGGCGGGGAAGGCAGATTTGGCAGTGATTTTAGAGTGGTGGCAACGGGCGAAGGCTTCCTACAGGAAAGGTGAGAGGTAAATGCTTTGGAGCGGGGCGATGCGGCTGGCTCTCACCCGGCAGTGATGATCCCCACCCTCGGGCAAAGCGTGGGCAAAGGGCCGGGTTTTTGGGTGGCCCATTGGCACCCTGCTCTCCATTGGTGGCTCATCCGAACCCTGCTTGGGATTCGGCCCCCGGAGCTGGCGGTGTGGCCGGGGAGGGTGAGCGGGTTGTGGGGGTGGGTGACGACTAAGGGCTGGGAAAAAGGCAAGCAGCCTTCCCCTTTGAACAGGGTGAGCAGATCAGTGCCGTCCGGGACTCTCAAAGGGAGGAAAAAAAGCAACTTATGGGACACTCCTCTGCAAAGACTTGACACGTGGAGGCTTTCCCACGGCGCGTTTGCAGCAGGGCCTTTGCACATCCCACCTTCCCTCCCCATTTTTACCAGGGGAAAAAAAAGACAGAGGGGGAAGGATGGCATACTGCACTAGTGCAGAAGTGTCTAAGCAGCTGCTAGTCTTAGGAGGAAAGTGTTACCAGAGACTGGCAGCCCCACCAGCACCTGGGTGCGAATGTCGCACAGCTACTTCATTTCCTGTAGCTCCTGGCCAACCCCTCTGACCCGGCTCAGCTCACCCTGCCCCTGCTCTGCACAGCAAAGGGGATACAACATCAACCTCACTGCACGCTACCTACACTGCAGAAAGCTTGGCCGTGGCTCTGTTGAGTCAGGGTGAATCAGGAGGAGGTGTTTTCTAAAAACTCAGTAATGCATTTGCTACTTTACAGCCATGCCAGCATTTCCCATTTGGTTCACTAGGGGAAAAAAAAAGGGTATTGGATATATTTCACCACGGTATAACAAGTGAAATTAAGTTATTCTTAATTTCCTCAGTGCCTTATTAGAGGGGAGTATGTTTTGGGTCTGGAATTGGCTCGAGCCGTGAGGGGTGGAGGAGGAGGAACGAAGCAGAAGAAACAAGGAACAGACAAGCCGGACCAGATCCTCACAGTGCAATACCGTGTGCAGAGGGACCGGGGCCTCGGTGCTGCCCGTCAGCGAGCCAGGGCCATGATCAGGCTGGCACACATCTCGAAGAAGTCCATGGTGTGGCTCCCCAGGCGCGGCGTCACCGCGGGGATGCTGCCGACGAAGGAGCCGCTCAGAGAGCCCATCAGCGACTGGCACTCGGGGGCCGCGGCGGCGTCGATGCTGAGCCTCGGCCGGTGCAAGCCGGCGGCCGAGCAGGAGCGCTGCGGCGTGGACGAGCCAGACCTCTGCTCCATCACATCGTCTGGAATAAAAAAAAACAAAACAAAACAAAAAAAAAAAAACGGACAAAGAAAAAGCGGCGTTAGTTTGGCATCTGCAATGCATGTTCGGTAAGGAACCAGGAACAGCAGTGGAGACAAATGGATCAAAAGGGCTTTCGCCGACTTGAAACAGCTGCATAAGCATTTTGAAATGCAAAGAATGATTTTTAAATTTTAATTTTTTTTTTTTAAAAAAGCTTTCCAATTCGCCGTTTTCTGTGTTTTCCATCTCGTGTCGCACCGCTTCCCGCTTACCATCGATGCTTTTGAAGTCCAAGAGATAGCTGCGGTTGTCAACCTGGTAGAGCTGCAGGCTCATCTTCACGTAATTGCCCGTCACCGGGTTCTTGCGGCGCACTCTGAGGTGGTAGGAGTTCACCACCTGCAACAGGAAACTTGCTTTTTCAGGAGTAAGATTCAAGGTAGAAAGAAGAACATTTCTTTCCTTCATTTTTAATAAATACTAGCAAGACATCTTCTGAGAAAAACACCATTTCTAGAAAGAACAATGCCTGTGAAATTAAGCAAATGGCTTCATATCCTATTTCCTCCTATCTTTAAAAATGCCTCTTAGGGCTCTGATTCACCAGCTGCTGCAGACGAAGCTGCCATGACCCATCTGCCAGGCACCAAACTGATGTTTGCTCCTCCCTCAGCAGCAGCAATGGCCATATGAGTCCAAAAGTCCACTCGTGAACCCACGTACAAGGCCCGTGCCTGTGAAACCAGGGCAGGCTGGGCAGCTGGAGAGAGCAACCTCTCCCATCGGCACAGCTAAATTCAGTGTTCATGAATCAGTCTTGAGCTGCGTATTTTCTCTTGCCGCTTCCCACCCCACAATCTGCTGCATCTCATTTGCAATGAGATCTTTTCTCCGTGCTATATTTATGAAGCAATTGCATGGATGGGAGAGCTATTTTGATGAAGAGTCACACCTGAAGCTATTCTTAGGGTGGGAAAGACTATTGTGAAACCTCCTTGTTCGAAATAAGCTCTGCTGCCTACATGAAGACGTTGGGCTGCCTTGGTTTGTGAAGCTGTATCAGAAATTCATCAGATTTGCTCGCTCTCTGTAAAACCACGCAGCTAACAAATGTCTGGCTGGTGTAGGCATATACATCTGGAGACACTCCATCTCCTGGCTGGTGCAGCAAAATCAGGTTTCTGGGTGCTACTTTGCTTTAAATACGTAATATCAAAGATAAGGAGGAGATAGGAGGCTTTGAAGAAGCGGCACAGTGTCATTCATACCGTACAACCCTTGGGACCTGGAGCGAGGAGGATATCTCCTCTGGTGATGAAGACCTGGGCTGAAATTCTCATTAACCTTGCTCCTGATGCTCGCACCAGGGTGCTGTGAGAGGCCGTGAGTCAGGAGAGCTCACATCAGCAACTGCACTGAGATTTAGGGAATTGGGCTCAGCAGCAAATATTAAGGGCTAACTTAGGGATTTATTCATCAGACTTTGAAAAAGATTGTGACTAAATGTTGTGTAGCACTGAAGGAATATCTGAAATGAATACTGTCAACTAAATGTTATTTGGGTTTAAAACAAGCTTCAAAAAGCTAAGCCCTAAACCAGGGAAGCAGGAAGTGTCTGAAAGCACATCTGGTCCATGAGCACCACCCCGTCTCCATTGAGGAAAACGCCACCACATCAGTGGTACAAGCTCCTGCCCCCAACGCCCCCCCCCCTGCCCCTCACTTGTGCATCTTTTAAGAAGATGCACATCCTGCCATCTCAGCGCACACAACTGCTAGGACTCAAGCAGAAGTAACACGAGTTACTTTGCTCAGGAGCACTCGAGATGACCTCGCAAGGAATTAGCTGCTAAAATTAGAAATGCGAGTGGCTCCTCCTATCCCTGCAGTTAAATGAGGCAGAATCATCTTTCCAGTCAGGGGCTTAGAGCGTTCAGAAAGAAAACTCTTACTTCACACCATAAATAAACGCCACAGATACTGAACCACAGCTAGCATCTTAATTCAGTGTGTTTGTATTCATGAGGAAGAACAGGGATGATGGCAAGGTGCGAGCATCTGTTTGGAAATGGGTGAGGCTGTGACCATGCTTTGTAACCTCCTGGAGCAAATCAGCTCATGAGGAAAAGACCCCTGAGAACCACCACGAAGCACCGCCCTCCCTACCTTCCACTCGAAGTCCAGCTGTTTCATAGCACGGTACACCTCGGCCATAATGTCATAGGGTTTGCTCTGGCTGCGGATTCCCAGGTGCCACTTGGCCTTTTTGACAGTGAGGGGTTTTGGCTTTGTGGTGTTGAGGGCATCCAAAGGACATCGCGCTTTGGGGCTGTCCGCCACCAACGGCGGCATCCGCTCGGGGTGCGGCTTCACCCCGGGAGGGATGTGCATGGTGCTGTCGTCCATGAAGGAGCCGGTGGGGGGGCTGGAGGCGAGGTAGAACTCGCTGGCTTGGTTCATGATCCTCCGGTTGTCAATGATGAGGTGGTAAGCCACTGCGAGCTGGTCCTGAGGGTCACCGCTGTACAGGCTGTTCATCACCTCCGACTCCGTGCATTCAAACTTCTCACAAACTTCCCGAACCGCGTCGTCGTCGATGACGGTGGCGTCGTAAGAAGGGTCCTCTGGGAACAGGTAACTGGGCAGCTCCTCCTTAAACCACTCGTGTTCCCTGGGGAAAGGCAGAGAGGAGCTGCTGTGAGCTCTGTGCAAGCCAAGCCGGGGTGACCGCAGCCACCAGTCCCTCGCTTGTTCTAGCTAAGAGCAATCCCCAGCTGCAGACTGGGGAGCTCAGCCCAGCCCTGCACGGTCCCCCCAGTATTGCAGCAGCGATGACACTTTGCGAGCGTGGCTGCTTGCTCACTTGGCTTTGATATAAGACCTCGGCACATACAAGATGCTCATGCTTTTTCATTACTACAAGAGATACAGAGCATCAAAGCTACCCAGGTGCTAGATTCCCACTGATTTACAATGAAGTCAATGATAATTAAGTGGCTAGATGCCATTGAAAGCCTTGTCTCTAGGTTCTACATAGCTGTAATCTCACCACATGTGCTGCTGCTCTAACATGTAATTAAATCTTCTAGTCGTAAGGAATTAAGAAGTAAAAAAGGTATTTTACTTGATTTTACTTGAAGGGTAAAATTAAGGCCATCCATTGTAAATGCATTAAAAACCTGAGAACTCCTGAAAGTCCTAGTGACATTTATGTGTATGCTTAGCACACCAGCTAGATATAATGATTACTATAAATTTCTGCTATATACTATATATAATTTCTGCTATATACTATAATTTCTGCTAAATACTATAAATATCTGCTTAAGGGCCCAGTTGTTCCCTTTACCTTGAATTTCCCCAGTGATGAATGCAGATAAAAGGTTCATGGGCACTGCACTTGCTGATTAAACAAGAAAACTACACTACATTTAAAGATGAACCATTTGCTCACATTTCAAACTATTTCAGGTATTTACAGATTAAGTCAGTAATTCTTGTGTTTCCCCTCCTTTTTTATTGGATAGACATTAAGTACAATGATTACTCACTTATTCTGAACTGGTACCCAGAGGGAGGTGGTCTTGAAATAAAGTAATGAAAAAAGGCTGGTGGATATTAAGTTCTTAGGATTATTGCATGATACAGCTGGCTTTGCTAAGCACTATTAAAAGATTTTTTAAGGCTATTTTATAATGCGATAAAATAATGTGTTTGTATATATATATATATATATATATATATATATATATATATATATAAAATATATATAACATCATCACTCTGTTCATCATCACCCACTAAAAGCCAGCAGTACCCACCTCTCCGCCAGCACAGAAGGGTGCAGGAGTGCTTCTTGAATCACTTGGGACAAAAACCAGCTGAGTTAGCTAACTCCTCCAGTAAACCAGCCTGCCCACCTGCCAGCAGGTGACCCCCAGGACAGCCACTGGTACGCCAGAGCCCCCCAAACACAGCCAGCCCACCCCAGCCCACCTGGGCTGACCTGATGTCCTTGATGGTGGCTCGCTTGAGGGGGTCAACCTGCAGCATGTGCATGAGGAGAGTGGCAACGGAGCGGTTGAGGTATTCGGGGATGTAAAACACGCCTCCTCGGATCTTCTTGAAGAGGGTGGGGACGTGCTCATCATCGAAGGGCAGAGTGCCGCAGAGAAGGGCGTAGAGGATAACGCCGCAGCTCCAGATGTCCACCTCCGGGCCAGCGTAAAGCCTGTGCGGAGGCAAGGGCAGGAGAAAGGTGTCACCCTCCCCGGCCTCCTCTCCTCAGTTAGGGTACAGGTCCCACTGCCTGACCTGGGGACCCGCTGCCAGCTCCACCGGGGTCGGAGCTGCGGCCCACGCCAATGCCCCCAGCCAAACCTGCCTAAGCCAGAATCACTCAGGGGTGAGGGGAAATGACACGGCAGAGCTGGCGCAGGCTGCCCACGCTCCTCTGGGCAGCCATGTACATCCTTGCCCCTGCCAGACCCTCCAAAAAGCCAAACTCCTCATTTCCGAGAGCTCTGCCAGGCTGTTTGCTCCTTCTCCCTGGGGGCTCAGCCAGCAATTTCTGTTCATTCAGCGAGACAGATTAAACGGCAGCAGATACTACATCTCTGAGTGTTTATTTTCAGTTGAAGTTTATGTGCTGGTATGTGAGCGCTCCTGCTTCTGACAAGCTGCTAATGTGTTCCCTGGCATCACCAAGTTGGGACACCCCAAATATACAGGCTTTGCTGCTGCTTGCTTGCTTGATTTGTTTATCTCTTTTTGCTACAACTGATGCCTTCTCAGAGATTTTTGGGAGGCAGTGCTTACCCTTGGGCTGTAAACCCCTACCAAAATACAGAGGTTGAAATGGAAATACAGAAGTCTCTTCACGAAACCTCAGCATCCTGCAGTTGCGCCTCCTGCAAAGCATTGCAGGAGACACACCGGTGCATAAAAAGCGCCGGTCATGCGCGCAAACATTCTCTAACCACCACCAAAACACCAGCTCTGCTTGGCCAAGGGTGAGACTTTCCCTGCTGAGGCCAGGGGCAGCAGCAAAGCCATTCTGGAAATGCAGACCATTAGCTAGATGCCCCCTCAGGCCTGTCTCCATGGCCGAATCCAACAGATAGGAAGCCTGATTCTTTTGCTGATAATTGCGTTGCCTGAGTCGACTGGAATTTTAAACCCAAATGGGATGCATTTTATGACCCTGAAACCTCAGCTGTCACGCTCTACTGCTTTTGTGCTCTACCCAGCAAAGGCAGGAGGAGCCGAGAACCAGCTCAACGCTGCCCCACACACCCACCCCAAGGCATCCACCCCGCTGCCAGCACAGCAGATCATCCTTCTCCCCCCCCAAACACAGCTCTCATACACTCCTATAGCTTTGAGGACAGATTGGCATATTAATCAGGGGTATAAAACTCCAGCATCACTGATACTGTAAGCGGTGCTGATTCAGGAGGGCTGCAGCTACAGGCAGTGAAAAAGTGCAACCTGTAGGCCTGGCTTTGTTTTTCTTTCTCACTTTTGTTGTTGATAAGCTGCATTGCCTGTACCCTTGGAACAATCAGGCTCTGCACACAGGGACTAAATCCTTCTTGTTAATCTGCCACGTGCCTCATCTCCTCTACAAACGGACAAAAATGTGCTTCTGGCCTTTACTGAAAAGGACATGGAAATAATATTAATTTTTTTTGGAATCACGGTAGAGTTTCTGGCTTTATCCCCCTCTTGACAATGAGGATTTACTTGCTTTCGCATGTAGAGCTGTAGTCACAACAGGGTTTTTGGATGCTGGTCTAATTCCTAGGATACTCTGCCAACACTCGCACTGGTGTAAACAGGGATAAAATAATCATAATCATAGCAAACACGCTTTGAACAAAAGTATTTAAAAGCTACAGTTCTAGGCAAAAATACGCTGGGTTAGGAAAACTAATGCTCATGCAAAGGGTGATTCAAAAATATGGGGCAGATAATGAGATGGGCAGTTTGAAGTACCACACAGAGGACTGAAAATTTGAAAATCTGTCTTTGCAATCCTTACTGTGTTATTATAGAGAGAGTTAGGGAAATAAGTACATTCTTAGGTAACTTAGGTTCCTGACAGTAAAATAAAGGAGGTAACATTTCTGTATCAACATGGTAAAGTCCAATTCAACCTTGCAGAGTGCATTCAACACGCCATGTGTTGTACAGATGTCGCAAGCCGAGAGATGCAACCACACTGGAGGTTTGTCAATTCAATTCATCAATTCAAAACAAAGTTACGACAGTTGAACCTACTGTCATGAACAAAACCCCTGTCTTAAGGAACAAGAAGGCAAGTATTTTCAATACAAGAGTTCAACAGTGTAGTGAAGTGATTAAAGATCTTCCAGATATTTATATTTATTTATTTATATTAGTGAATGGTTTTCCTCATTAACGCTGTGTTTTATATTACAGGTGGGCAGGAGAGAAGGTGGTGGCCTGGAAAAGCCTTTCCATCTGAAACCAGTATTTGCATCCAAAGAGTAATTTTCACCCTCTTTAATTAGCAATATAAGCAGTCAACATCTGCTATTAATTCCTCCAAAGTAAGTATCTTTAGCAAAACATGGTTTACTATTATAGCTATTGAGAAATGCAATAACCAAGAAAACGTTCAGATTTCTGCCAGCAGATTCACCCAAACGTAAAATACAGGCTGGAAGGATTCAGCTGCTTTTACAAGATGTGCAAAGCTGTTTCCAATTCCAAGAACATATTTAAAGACTACGTGCTCACATAAGTTCCGATTAGAAGTGGAATGTCCTACCTTCCAGAGATGACTTCAGGGGCTGCATAATTTGGGGAACCACAGCTGGTGCGTAGAAATTCACCATCCGACATCATGTTGGACAATCCTAAAAACAAGATGTTTACTACATACTGATGTTTGATGCGAAGGTCCAGTCACAGAGAATTCCATGTCGCACAGAGGAGGAGAGGTACAGTAAGTGAAGGGGGAAAATGGGAAGGGAACTGTTGACATAATTTAGATAGACTCCTTTGACTTGATTTGCAAATAATAATAAGATTTTTGAGGTTTTTTCCCCATATCCAACCAAGGAATATGCCCTCCAGGCTAATTTCACTTCTCTAAATTGCAAATCTCAGAGCACAGAGGAAAAGAGACATAATTCATCTCAGAGAACTTACTTTATATGGGAATTGTGTAGGGTTGTAAAATGAGTAATCTTCAAAAGGATTTATCACTGCTGGAAAGGACGCACTGGGACCGAGCTGGTAGCCCAGCTATTTCAATGGATTTCAATCGGTAATGCCACTTAAAGACTCCTGTTACTACTCATTTGTAAAATGAAATGAGGCCAAGAGCACATGGCCAAACGTACGGAGAACACACATGAAAATAAACACACACAGCCAGCTCACCCTGGAATTAACTGCACCGAGTCTGTCTTAAACATAAATTAGCTAAATCTTTATATTAGGTGATTATACCAAAACACAGCGAAAATTTGCGAATTACTTTGCTGCTCTATTCTTAATGCCAGTACAGAAGCAGCCTCCAATAAGTAATCCCTGCTTTTGCAAAAAGGCCACTGTTTATAACTGTGGGCTTTTCAGGTAAAGCAACTGCTAGTGGTTAGGAAAACAGGCTCTGGGTTTTGTACAGCGTGCTACACGGACACGCTCCAGCAAGCGCCTCCGAGCTGGCTGCATTTCTGGAATGCTGCTGGGGTCACATACCAAAATCGGCTATCTTTGCATTCATGTGTGCATCCAGCAGCACGTTCTCTGGTTTCAGGTCCCGGTGGACAACCATGTGTCTGTGGCAGTAGTCCACCGCAGAGAGAATCTGCTGGAAAAGGCGTCGAGCTTCTGCCTCTTCAACCTGTGGGTGCAAGGGGAAATAGTCCTGAAGGTTGGTCTGCGTGCAGAGCTGGCAAGGGAAGGTTTGACTTAGCAAGGAGCCAAAATGTTCCAGGGTGCAGAGAAAATCACAGTGTGCTTGTGACCAGAAGCAGCAAATAAAGCAGATTTCCCCCCTTGCATTATAAAATGTGCTAGTGTTTGCAAACGATATAGCCCAGGCATGAAATCAGAAACCTACATTTAGCTGAGCTATCAAGATGAACTTATTGGTGGCACCTATGAGGCCATGGCTCGCTGTCCCAACGGGACCAGTTCTGTTATACAGCACATGCAGATCGAGGCTGGACAAAACACCACAGGATGCTGCAGGGGGCAATTCCTCATGAACAGATGACTTTGGAAAAAAAAAAAACTAAAGGTGGAAAATTGTGATGATTTTCATTAGATATATAGCTATATTAGCAATAAAGTTGTATGGGCTATATTAGAGAAATTATATTTAAAATGACGAGGAGATTGATTACTTTTACTGATGATTCTCCTCATGAAAAACTTAGTTTCTGAATACAAAAATTCAGAAAGGATCCAAATTAGTTACTGAAAAGATCCAGGTGGGTAAAATGTGTTGGAAATCAGAACTGTATGTAGAAAAGTAAATGGAGTCAACTCCATCGACCACTGCATTAATCTAAACCAATTTATTGTAAATGTATTGAACTTTGTAGTACAGAGAGGAAACATATGATGGGCTGATCCTTCACCCAAAGCCTTATTCTGGATGTCCACTTCAGCCCATTTTTATCTCCCTGACCTGCGATTGCTCCCTGACTACAAGGATGTCCACGAGGCAGACACCAGTGGTTTTCTTTGTAATCATTACATCACATTTCATGGGCTCAACCTATGCCTCAGGTGATTTATACCCAGCAGGATTACTGGCATTTGCAAATGTTGTTCAGATAAGCCACATCCTTAAAAAGTCTTCAAAAAACCTGATGTGGAGCCAAGGGGGAGCCTGGGGGAGGTGAATCACTGGGATGGAGACCACACCGAGTAGTCTTGCCCTCCAATGCCGTAAATCTGCTGCTGAACCATGAGGGTTTTGACAGGTAGCCCATAGCTAAGAATTATAAAAATATTATAATTTTCCACGTATTTGCACTAAGCAACACGTTACCTTGGATTTTTTTTTTTTTTTTATTTTATCGAAATACATCAGAGAATGTTGCAAAAAATCACACGCAACTTTTGTGTGAGCCGGATACGAGACACTCCAGATGGGATTGCTGTGAAGCAACTTCTATTTTGGGCCTTAACCTTAACTGCGTTCCCTTTAGCAGTCCTGTTGCTTCTAAACACCATCCTCTTCCCACACAAGTGTTTGGGCTGACATAGTACTGGCACTTACACGTCCGTGCTTACAGATGTAATCAAATAATTCACCACCAGATACGTATTCCATGACCATGAAGAAGTCCGTTGGTGTGCTGATGACCTGGTACCTTCAAAAACACCAGTAGATTTAGAAAACAAAATAATTAAGAACAGGGAAAGGCTTCTAAACAGATTATTAGTTTCACGTCAACCCTCAAAATAAGCATCTGTTTGGATCTTGCATTTATAATTGCTTTCCACTTCTGAAAAGCCATCTCTTATTTCAAGTATAATCTTTCACTTGTCTATGAAAGGATCTCTTTTACAGACCCATGATTTTCCTTCAAGCTTTTAAATAATCCTCTGAAATCTCTGCCAGACAATCCTATCATATTTAAGACTGTCCTGACTTTCAAATTTCCATTTTGGCTAAGATCTGCAAAAACAGCTCTAGAAATTAAGGCTTCGTTAGCTGGAGGCAGGGAGGGTGTATATTTGTTTTCCCTCATATCAAGGATAAAGAAGATAAAGAAGAACTCTAGACACTAGAGGGAGCTTCTTTTGGAAAGGTATAGAAACAAAGACAAGCACCCCAAATAGTTATTTTTCAAATATTAAATCCCTCTACATTTGAGAATGGGGGGGAAAAGAGTATCACCCTTAACTTGAAAATTTATTCTCCATTTTCATTCAAAATGATCCCTCAGTGCTTCAAAGGCATTTCGGTGTCCCAGCTGTTAGAAACTGCCCCTGATCAGCTGAGGTCAATGCAGCTACAGAAATACATCACAGCACCAGCTGAGACCCTGCTCTGTTTTATTTCAGATACATTGTTGCTTGCTTTTTTGGTTTTTTAACAGGTAAATTTCCATGGGTGGTAATTTGAAACAAACAGATTTCAAACAATTTTCAGAGAATAGCAAGTGAATGGGTGATAGCCCCATAAAGATCAACAGGATCAACCTATTTTTTCTGAAGTGTTTTGGACCCAGACATCTAAGTTACTGTTAATTGCGCCACCACTTCTTTTATATACATGGAAAAAGCTATTGAAAGAGGTTTATGTACTGTGGTGTCCTCCTCACCTCTTTATCATTGTATTTCATGATTGCAGTAAGTACCATAGGACACTGGTATTGTTAAACTGGGTTTAATTTTTACGCTTTAATACTTTGACAAATGGGTGAACAGGACTTAACTTGCAGGATGCTGGATACACAGCTGAGGACTCTTGCTGACTTTTTAGTGAAATAATACTAATCTGTTCTCCAATAAATCCATGGAGCTGTGAAGTTACTCTAAAGTCAACAGTTGCTGCATGGTTAGTTATTTAACTGTAGAGAGAATTTGTTTACCCTTGCTTCTAAGTCCCAGGTATTTGCTATATCTCATGCCAGTTTTAAGGCTGACCTAAATGTCAACTTATCCTTGCAGTTACCATTCAACAGCTTTCTTTTATAGAAATGCCAAAGATATTATCGAGTGCCTCATTAATGTGGACTGGCTGCACAAACTAGGGATTGAGAAGGAATCCCAGAGGCTGGAGTGCAGGTGCTGATTTACAACTGAAATTCAGGTTCATCAGAGTGGCAACTTTGAAAACTTATGTCTGAATAATAAATTTAAAAAAAAAAAAAAATGTTCCTTTAAGCTCTGGATAATCAGGCCATTAAAATATAAATCTTGTTGACTTCAGGCCAAGGCTTCACTCTATGAGCCTGACCATGCTGCAATTCCTCAGGCATAATTCTCAGCAGCTTCAAGTCTGGAGATACAAAGCTTAAAAAGGGTCATCACAAAAACCTGTAATAGCATCCCGATGCAAGAAAGCCCAGACCTTCCCTCCACACCTTTATAATGGCCTCTGCATGGAAGGGAGGACCGCTTGGACAGGGTTAGCTGAGCAAAACTTGATGCAGGGGCATCGGTCTGCCGGCTGTTACAATAACCCAGACTGCCACTGGAAGAAACACCTTCCATCATTTCTCAAAGTGTCAACTGTGTCCACCTGTAAATTAGTGGGAGACTTCCAAAAAGCAACGTTTGGCTCTAACGTGCAGAAACCTGACCACATACCTAGCATGTTCTACTACTCTAAGCCATCTCCTGAAACCAAGTCAACTGTGTATGTGAAGTCTCTGAAGATGGAGGGGTAAACTGAACACATGGCAGAAAGGATACTTACAGTTTGATAATATGAGGGTGCCGGAAGAGTTTAAGGTTTTGAATTTCTCGTTTGATCTTCCCAACCACATCCAGGCTGCGTATTTTCTGTCTGTTGAGTATTTTTACTGCTACTTTGTGCCCCGTCAGCTGGTGTTCGCCAACTGTTAGAAATAGAGCATTAAAAAGTCACTAAATGGAGTAGAAAGATTCATGCAAGCAATTTAGGACACTGACTTATAAGCAAAAAGCAACTCTTAAAGGGAAAAAAACAAAGGACAAGGGCGTGAAATATTTTAAACTTAGTTTTTGTCTCTTCACTTTATTGTTTTCCCAGTGGAGTCATAGAAGACAGAAGAGAGGGGACTTATCTGCAAGAAATCCTCAAGTAAATAAAACAGAGCGAGGTACTGGAGGAGGTCATACCCAAAGATAATTTGCAAGGATTGATAGCATGTTAAAGCTAGATCAATCAGAAACATATATTTAAATGGCAGAGGCGAATCTCCACCATAACACACTGGTTGATTAAATCCCTAATAAACCCAGTCTTAAAATCAGACCATCGCACTTCTTTAAAAAAAATGATACAGGGATTTTCCCTGCCCAAAATAGGACTGCAGGATTTGTATTACTAAAATGAATTTCTGTTTATACTTCCTCAAGAATGCTTCTTGGTTTGATGACAAGCTGCAGGAACACTGCTGTACTGCAAGAGCAAGTTCTGGTTTTAGAAAAGACACAAACTTCAGTATGGGTTTGTATAATATGCACTTTGTGCACTGAGATGCTGATGCTTCTCTCCTGTCTACAGGGGCAAACAGTAACCACAAACTGGGAGTAACACCATTGTCACTGGGGGAATTGCATTAACTTAACAATAATGTGAAACAAATTCAGCATTTGATCCATTTGTTATCAATAAACAGCCTACGCAAGAAATAAAAAGCTCCTAGGAAGCAAGATTTATATTGAAGTTAACAGCAGAAACTGCTTTAAAATTGTCAATTGGATGTTTATATCTAAAAGGCTTCTCTGGCCATGAGCTACCCCTTCTCAGTATTTTATAATGTGATATTAAAAATGGTGACATACAGATGGTTTTCTAAAGGCTGCACAGAAAACCTGCTTACAGTAAATATTTGTGTTAATTACGAACGTTACCCTTCCAGTAATAACATAGAGCACAAGGAGTTAATAATTATGAGCAAACCTTGTTATTACATTCTTAGACTCTGTAATTTTGGAGGCTCTAATGAGCTGATCAGAAGCAAACGGCACAAGCAGACGGCATGAGAAGGGCAGGGTGGCAGCACCGGCACCGCTTGGGGCACGCCAGGTCACTATTATTAGCCACCAGATAAGACCTGCCAGAGATTCCTTCCTCAATAAGAGCATTCTAAAAATAAAACACTTTACTGCCCTTGAAAATTAAAGCAGCACTTTGCATGTCCATTTTATTCTTCGCAATACTTAAAACTACTAGATGAAATGAAAATAAACCAAGCTCTGCAGTATAGATGGAATTTGGGGATTAGCTGAGGGCTGGAGGAGGCAGATAATTCCTCTTGTGCGGTAAAAGGAGAGAGCTGCAAATAGTCCCAGGAGGCATTTTCCCCGTTGCATCCTTGAGGAGATGGAGATGGAGAGGAGAAGAAGGCAGTGTTGGACCTGCCCCATGGCAGGGAGGCTTTGCTGAAGCAAGACTCTGCAAAGCAGCGTGTGTGCAAGGGGTACGAAAGTATGCTCAAGCTTTACCAGGGCTCACAAGGGGGCCGGGGTACAGCTTCTTCGTTCACTGCAAGAAATTCTCCCCAAGTTGTGCCAATAGTATTCATATAAAAGACACTGATCTCTCTTTGCCAAGGCTGTCATGGTATATGCACAGTATGTTACACTGAGGAGGCTGGGGAAGGCATGACAGAGGGGTGTAAGACAACTTCAGCAGACACCCTTGAGATCAAGGCTTTTATTAGCAGCATTTGATTTGGTCAACTACAGCACTGTGATACCTCCGCTCTCTCTTTCCTGGGACCACAGAAGCTGTACTTTAAAAGCTGCCCTTGAATCATTCAGCTCCATTAAAGAATTATAATGCACTAAGCCATTAGCTGGGAAACTGAGGAACAACAAAGCAAAGAGGTTTATTGTTGAACTAGTAGGAAAACCATGATTTCTGCCATCCTTTGTTTCAAGACAACCCTTTCTGGCCTTATCCCAGTGTATGTTTTGAGAAAATTTTATTATACACTCGGGAATAAAAAAAAAAATTGGCCGTGCCCAGAATGAATAATCATTGTTTTTAATACCATTGCCGAATAGTTCATCTCCTTTCCATCCATAACAAACAATGTGTAACTCTGTGAAGGTTTGCTAGCTCAAACACATTAATAATTAAAAATAAACAGTCTATTTTGTAATCCATCTTTTGCTTACAGTAAGCATTAGATACAGAGATATTATTGTTTCAGTCCCCAGTGGCTTGTTAAGCCTACTCGAACGCCTTGAAAGATAGAGACAAAGAGAGAACATAATTTGCTATGTGGTGGGAGACTTTTAAGCCTTTCAGGTCTCTCCGGTTGCAGCCTGAAGATGCAGGAATTTTGACATGGGGCAGTAAGGACAACCTTCCCTCTGCTCACGGAGTCACTGGCTCTGACTCCCCGGGCTGGAGCACGTTGTGGGGACGATCCAGCCCCAGATGAGGTCCTGTGCCTCCCAAAGGCATGGAAGGGGATTCTTGTGCAGCTCGTCTCGAAGGGGTTCATCCTCTCCTCACCCCAAGGATGGGCAATGGTGGTCTCGGGTGGTGAGGAAGCCTTCTCTTTCCTTCTCGCTACCTCCCCAAATTAAAAGCCCAGGGGAGGAGGGAAGGCTGAGCAGCACTATTAGAAAGGGGATTTGAGCATGCTTCTTGTTTTTTAGTGACAAGTACTCAGGTAAGTTCCACCTCAGCTTAGAACTAGCAACTAGGACACTGTTGGGGTGAGCAAGGGGGATGGATTTGACACTGAGAAGAGGAGCAGCATTGCACACTGTGCTACAAAAATAAAAATCCCAAACAGCCATAAGGGTTAGGTGGTAATGCTGACCCTGAACTCTAAAAAGTAGCACCAAATGGGACACGGCGTGAGTGCCTTTAGCTGCTACCCCATTTGCTTGCACGTGTGACTGCCTGTGCACAAGAATGCTTCTGCATCAGAGGCTATTAAGGAAAGAAGGGAAGAGATAGAATAGAATTAGTTTCTGAAAAAAAGACCCTTCTAATTTAGTTATTTTTATAAGAGAAAAAACAACGAGGAAGAGTGGTTATAATACTGTAAGCTGAAATAATCATTAAAACCCCTTCACAGCATGTTTTTTTACAGCAGGCACCAATGAAGCCTACCTCTGGGTGTGTGTTTGATGTAGCTCAGGTAGCATGAGCAGTTCATAGTTTTGCAAATGCTTCAGGGGAATGTAAAAGTTTAGGGAGAGATGAGAAAATTCCTTTCCTATCAGCTATGCTGGCCCTTACCTGAGCCCAGAGTTAAAAATGAAACCCATCCAAACCATATGTTTAGCAACACTGTATTAATTCTGCCCCAGTGCCACTTGCTTGTATGTTATATCATCCTTCCTTTCCCTTTCCTTCATCTGTTCAGTCTCTTTTAGTTTATCTTTCCTCCAACATAAGGTTTGTCCTTCATAAGCAATGCTGAAGAAAGCCTGGGAAAACGGGATCTGACCCTGACTCGAGCCCATGGAGGTGCCATCATAACCAACAAAAACATAACCCAAGCACTGCCGGTCCTTGAGGGACCACAAATTGATCACCTTGGTGGCCAGCAAGTGTGGGTAAGAAACGACCAAGTGGCCACCAGGGACACTGTGCCTGGCACCACATGGAAAAATATTTGTGTTCCTCCTCTGGATTTTGATTTAAGCTCTCGTCAGGTGAGCGCTGTAGTTGTGGGAGAACTCTTCGTGGACCCGCAGGGTGGGATGTGCCCATCACAAACGCAGCAGCAATTTGTCTGATCTGTTCTTATCAACCACCAGCAGAAGAGATGCCACCTCCTTCCTTCATTCCTCCACTAAACTCAACATCCAAGACCATTTCCACAGTTCTATTTTCTGCAAATTAATCTTATCTTTGGCCTGGAGGACAAGGAAAGTAACAGTCACCAGCTCTCCCTGTATTTGGCATAATCCTGTGTAGTAATGTTGACCCTTGGCATGAGACCTCCTACCCACCCACCACATTCACATACACCACGTTAACTCCTGCCACCTTCCTCTCTTCTAAGAGATGCTGTATTTTCATCACTGTTTCCAGCTGGAACTTCTGTATTACCACCAAAATCCTGCTCTCATCTGCCAACTTATTTGCTCCCCTCCATGCCTCGTGTGTTCTTCCTCTAACTGAGATCAAGGAGCTGAATGGTCTTAAAACTAAGTTTCTTGCAGCGTTTAGCTAGTTTTTAGGAGGATCAGTTCACCAACAACCCAGAACGAACATCCCACCTGGGCAGCAGTGACTTTTTCTGCTTTCTGAGGGCTCTGAGTGACTATTAAGCTCCAGCCATAAATTCAAGCTCCGGTTAGGACCCCACTGTCACTAAATCCTTCCTTTAATTGTCATTTTTTAATTTCCTTAATAACTGTAATCCTTAATGATCGTAATCTATGATTTATTAACCTTAAGGAGTAAGGCAGGAAAAAGTACCTCTTACAAAGTCTTGTGCAAGGCAGAGTTTGAAGAAAACACATCAGCCACAAGAAATGTCACTGATGGCATCAGACTTCTTAGTGAAAAGCAATTACTATACATACTATATACAAAGATGTAACCAATAAGACAAAAATCTGTTCACTTTTCTCATGTTTCTTGCTAAACAGGGTGAATACAGGTTTTTCTAAAGCTCAATTGATTAAAATGCTAGAACTCTGTATAAATAGGAGATCTAGTTTCTCCATCTCAGTTTCCAATCTCAAGTCCAAATTTCACCTGTCAGCTGTAGGCAAAATAGTAAGGAAAATACACTTATAAAGGGTACTACTTACCCATAAAGGCTTTTGAGCTAGGAAATCTCTTTTATGTTATTTGAAATGTTTCTTTGGAAACTGTCAGTTTTTACCAAAGTCAGGTCATATGTGGGGTAGTGGGTGTTTGTGCAAGTTACTTCTGAAAGGTAGTTTGGGAAAAAAGGCTATTGTTGGCAGGCTTAATTTGGTCTGCAAGAAAAAAATTGTGTTTGGATCACTTTTTGAGGTCTGCTGGTATACATGAGTGATTTAAATGGTCCTTACTGTTAGAAATATTTATTCCAATAATTCTTTAGTCAGTAAATTTGTGGTTTGGGATTAAACACAGCAATATATTTTTAGGGGCCTGATTAATGGTCACAGGTGGATTTAGCTCCAGCGGTTGCGGTGGTTTCTTTCCCCTGCTGTCAATTTTGGTTTATTTTAAAACTCCAGTCGCTGAGTGCGGGCACATCACCCCTTTGACCAGCCACAGCACTGCGGGAAACCTCCTGGCGAGGCTGGGGGACCTCGACCCGGGCAGCTGCCCCCCTGGCTTCAGCTAAACCCACGTCCAACCAGTAATCACAGCTCTTCATTTTGCTCAGACAATAAATTCTTCTGGGTTTTGTTGTGGGGGTTTGTTGTTTGTTTGTTTTTTTTTTTTTAGTATCTTGATTCAAAGATAAAATTTGGACATAATGGTAGAATTCACAGGAAGATGAATTATAAATACTTGGAAACCTTACAGTCAGGTAAAGCAAAGCTGGCACCTTGAAAATGCGAGCTGACTACCCTGGCAGGAACGAAGAGGAATCCCTGCGAACAGCCCCCGCCTGACCCGACCCCTCCATCCCTCCTGCCGCAGGTCCCGGCCCCGGGGTGACGTTCAGAGGGGCAGCACAACAAACCCCTTTTGCTCCCGGTCCCTCCCGCCCACGAAGCACCTTTTGGAAAGGAAGGGGCGGCAGGGACCCCAGCCTCGGCACGGAGGGGGCAGGATGCCTGTCAGCGCCCGCTTTGCTGTCCGGTTTTCCCATCAACCATCCTCCTAGCTCGGGAGGAAAGTTTTGGTGGGTGCTGCTCGGAGCACCGGCGCCGGGGGCTGCAGCAGGCGAGGGCAGCACGCCGCCGGGCTACCGAAGGGCGAGGTCTGCATCCCCCCGCCAATTCATCCTTTCCCCCCCCCCCCCCCCCCTCCCCCGCCCGCCTCCTCCCCATACCCCGAGAAGGGGGCGCCTCCCACCCCGCGCCCCCCGGGGATGCTGCGCGGACGAGATGGGAGGCGATGCCCGGCGCAGAGGCCCGCGTTAGCGGGGAGGGAGGGAGGAAGGAAGGAATGGGGGGGGGGGGGGGGAAGGCATTGGGGGCGCAGCCCGGCCCCCTCCCCGCGGCCGCGGTACTCAGCTCTTGACTTTGCCGAAGGTGCCGACCCCCAGCGTGTCTCCCAGCACGTAGTGACCGATCTTCACCCGCCCGTCGTGCTTCTGCTTCTCGGCCATGTTCACCAACACCCCCCCCCCACCCCCCCCCTTCTTCCACCTCCTCTTCCCGCCGCCGCCGGACCACAATGCACAGGGCTGGCCCGGCCCGGCTCGGCTCAGCCCGGCTCGGCTCGGCCCGGCTCGGCTCAGCCCGGCTCGGCTCGGCTGAGCTCGGCTCGGCGGGACTTGCGCAGCGGGGAGCGGCGGCCGCGCTGGGTGCGCGGGAGGCGGCTTGCGCGGCCGCGGGGGCGGGGAGAGGCGCGCCCGCCGCGGATGCCGGGGGGGGGGGTGGTGGTGGTGGAATGTGTATGTGTGTAGGGGGGTGCACCGCCGGCTTTGGGGTACACCGGGGGGGGGTGGGTGTGTGTGACACCCTCCTCGGGGCGTGCCGTTCTTGTGGTGTGTTGAACACTCCTTGGGGATGGGGGGGGGGGGGGGGGTGGTGGGGGGGGTGTTCGGCTTGGGGTGCACCTGACTGGGAGTGACACCTTCCTTGGGTGAAGCTGTCCTGGGGGTTCCCCCCCTCCCTGCCAGGCACCTGCCAGGGGGTCGCAGCCTCTTTAACGGGGACATTCGTTCTCCTTGGGGTGCGCCCTCCTTACGGTGTACCCGGCTTGGGATGGCATCCGTCAGCTGGTGGCACCCTCCTTGGCGTGACACCTTCCCGGGGGTTGCCGCTGCCCAAGAGGGACGCTCCTTGGGACGCACCCTGCTTGCAGTGCACTCGACTTAGGTCGAACCCTCCTTGAGGCACGCCTAATTGGGGGTGGTACCCTCCTTGGAGAGCATGTGCCTGAGAGTGACACCCTCCTTGGAGTGACACCCACCTGAGGGTGACACTGTCCCTGGGGTGCACCCTCCTTATGGTGCACCTGCCTTGGGCTGGTCCCTCCTGTTGGTGACACTTTGCTTGGGGTCACACCAGCCAGGGAAGTTGCATTCAGCCCGCAGAGAGCATCACCCCAAGAGGGATGTGCTGTGGGGTGGGAAGCATGGCCCCACACGCACCCCGTGAGACCCAGCTGTCCCTTGGGCTGGGAGACAAAGGGTGGGTGGGTAGAAAGGATTGATGGTCATGAAATAATATGGGCAGATGGGGAGTTGTGTTGGGATGGTTGGGTTGTGGGCTGGAGGGAGAGAAAGGAAGTATTACAGAGAAGAGAAAGGTGGTCCTGGGGTGGATGGTGGGTGTTGGGACCTGTCTGGTTGGGTGGTGTGATGCCCTGGGTCCTGTATGCTGAGGAAGGGAGGTGGCACTTACGGGTGTCTCCTTCACCCTGGACTGCAGGCTGGGAGAATTGGGAGCCCGGTGTGTGCAAATAAATCTGTGTGTGGTTGGGAAGGGCTGAATTTGGGGCGATGATGGTGCTGCCCGCTGCTAGCAGCTGCTGGGCAGTGCGCTGGGGGGTGATGGTGGAAGAGCAGTTCTCACTTGGCAAAGCAGCTCCAGGAGCCTTCTTGTGGGTCAGTAGCTGTGTTAGCATAAAGGAGCAAAACAGATGCTCGGGAAAGGAAACACCAATAACATCAGCAGTCAGTGCAGTCAGCTGAAACCATCTTCATATCTTGGCAGTGCTGCCAGCTGCTGTTTCTCATGAGCTAGCAACTCATCCTAATGATAGCATTATCCATTCCTTAGCATTTCAGCCCTGGGACAGCCTGCAGCCTGGTAGGGTGACGTTGTATATTAAATAACACAGCTGCTCTAAGCAGGCTTCTTTGTGCTAGATCTTCTCACTAGAAATGTACTTTGGTGGGGAAAAAAAAACCCTATCCTGAAGGAAACACCAATTTAGTGATCCCAACTCTTTTCTGTGATGAAGCGTTCCCCTTTCACTCATTAAGAAGACAACTGCGACCCCGAAAAGGAAAGCCCTTGCCATCCTGCATGGTAACTGAGGCTGGAAAGCAGCTGATGCGGGTGTGTTTGCTGTAAGGTGAAGGTCTCCTGGATTTGCAGTCCTGTGGCCTCAGCTGCCTCTTGCCTGGGTGACAGGACCCCTGCGAATGCTGCCCTGAGACCTCTGCGTCTTCAGCCCAGAACTCAGGCAAAGCAGGAGCTGCTCCTCAGCTCCGAGGGCTGTGATAGAGGAAGGGATTTGTTGTTTGTTCAGAGGCTCAGATCCGTTTCTCTTTCAAGCAGTCACACGATGGACAATTTTGGCCAAAAGTCCAAAAGGTTTCCTAAGGAAAGCAGGATGCTTTCCCTCATCTCCTAAATAGGACATAAACTTTGAGCCACATGAGTAGTTCACATTAAAAAAGCCATGCATGCTCCTCCCGAGTAATATGGTTGAACACTGAAATTGGTCTCACATATTTGAAGAGTAGCCCTTTCACATTTTAATAGTGTTAATTCTGACCTCTCCGTTTCTTATTCAGCTACATGGAGCAGCAGAAGGCGGTCGCAAACACAATCCGTGCTCTGAAGTAGTAAAGAGCTATTTGGGAAGCTGAAAAAGGAGTATATATAGACAAAAGATACCTGATAAAGTAATGACCAGACTATGCAACTGTACTATCACAAATAATAAAATGACAACCTGATTCAACAAATTCAGTGATATAAATACCTCAAATAACAAGCTCAGGGTAGAAACAGGGATGTTGCTGTAATACAAAACCATGTGTAGTATAATGAAACCATATCGGTTCAATCAGAACAATAGATCTACATGAAGGCATAAGAAAAACAGTATTTTAAAATAGTAAACTTTAAATAAGATAGTAGTGATGCTATCTCCTGGAAAGCCCGAGAAAACTGTTTTCTTCAGGCAGCTGCAAAATTGTCAGTCCAAGCAAGTCTTTACCTTGCAAGATCTCAGCAGCTCTCTTCTGTCTTTGTTCACAAGAGCACGTGGGGTTTGTTTGATCTCTGCTTCCAGTCTTGGCAAGCCCTGACTCTGTCTGAATGAAGCACCACAACAAAAAGGTGAGATCTCAAATGGTATTTTTTTAATGGTTAGACGAATACATTTAGCAGGAGGTGCTGTATGTAGATGTACTATTTTGCTATCTTGCTTGTTTCCTCGAAGTTGGTAACTAAATCTCCGAGCAAACCGATGCACCATGAGTGTTTCCACAGCCTGTTATACACACAGAAGCTGTTTACTGGAAATATTGAATTCATGTTAATCAGGTTTTTAGTTTACAGGATATATTTGGGGGGCTTAAGGCTTACAGGAGACTATAGAAAGCCCTTTGCTCGGCAGCAAGCACGTCACCAGGTGGGTGAGCACCTTCCAGCCCCATCAGTGTTGGTGAGAGCTGAGAGCAGTCATTCTGCAGAGCCTGGTGTGCTCCTGGAAAGCGGTGCCGGGGCTCAGGCTTGAGGGTATTTGCCTAATTTTCCTCTGGCTTCTAAACACATACATGTATGTGTGCATACATATATGTATATGTATCTATATTGTATAAATCTCATTTGCACACACCGGGAAAGGGAACTGTGCTCCCAGGCAGGAGCTGAAGGGTCTTGAGTAGAACACTGGGTGGGGAGGTGTTGCTAGGAGATGGAGATTCCAGTGTCTGGAAAAGTGTCATTTTTATTTTTGGTGTAGATCACACAAAATGGTATTTGACTGTGAAACAGGATACAAATCTCTTCCTTCTGCTTACGTTCATCTCTGAATGATCTGTCTGTGCCTAGTAGCGCTGCAGCTTATTTAAAACTGAAATCAAATGTAGATGGTGCTGTTCAGTCCAGCTGGAGGCTGGGTGGTTTGCAATCTTCAGTCTTTTTTTTTTTTTTTTCTTTTTCTTTTCTTCTTTTTCCCTATTCAATGAGAAATCCCTTGTTTGAGCAGCAGGATATATGTCTCTGTTTAGGAGAGGGCATCCTCGCGTGGCTTTGGTTCCTTTGTGACCAGTTGTCTCTGCTTTTTCAGACACTTTGTGTTAGCAGTCATTTTGGGGGGGGTTGGGCTTATTAAATACATCTCTCCAGGGCTTGTTCTCTCTTGATTTGCTGCTTGTGCCCCCTGTTGCATCCCAGTTCCAGCTGGGAGCCAGATCCCCCCATCCGAGCTGGCTGCATCTCCATCCTTCTCGCAGAGGGGGAGCCCGTGATGGCACAGGGAAAGCTGCCGTGAGGGGTGCAGCCCTTCACTTGGGGCACTTGGCTCTCCCTGGTGTGCTACCAGGGCAGGATTTACAGTGGAAATTAGTTCTGAATGATAAAACACTGAGGTTTTTTGCACCTTGTATGAAGTACTGGAGTCCTGGACAGCAACATGGGAGCCCCTCACAGTTCTTGCAGAGGCTCATACCATGCACTCACATTTTGCTGATGCCCCTCTTGGGCACCAAACTCCCTTCACTCAATATGCAAGGGGTTTTTTTTGGCAACATGGGGCTAACCAGCAGGATGCTGAAGGGTTAGGAGGGCACCCAGGCCAACCTGGATGCTGCCTGTCGCAGCGCTGGCTGATGACCATCGGTGAACCTGCAGAAGGGCTCGTGGCTGAACGTCTCAAGCCACGTCTGACCTGTCCAAGGACTTCAGCTCAGCATCCCGAACTTGTATTTTTCCAGTTCAGTGTGACCAAAACAGACCAGGAACGTTGTGCACCTGCTTATACAAAAGCTCAGGTTCTGAGGCATGCTATCCAACCCTTGTAAGTGCCCTAAATCTCTGGATTTTCAGTAGGATTTGCTTTTCTGGCCTTTGTTTTTGGAGGAGATAGTTAATGAGATAATGCAGCAGTGGGTAAACTGTGACACGTGACATGAGGTTTTTTGAACGTTAGAGAAACTACATGCATCAGAGGCTTATGCACATTAGATTTGTAACAAAGCAATTCCCATTTGTGTTATGTAACTGATGTTATTTATCAAACCCCATGTACTGGCCAGGAGCAGATGTTGAACTGTCATGCTACAGTGTTGGAAATTAACTTTTCTAGGGATTAGTTATTCAAAAGCAATCTTGTGATTAGCTCATTGCAATATAATGTAACAACATGTAATATAGAATTATTATTCCAAAAAT